TGATAGCCGCTTCCTTAATTAAATAAATTAATGAAGTTAATTATGTGATTAGTGTTGATCATGAGATTATGTGTTAATTGTGATTTATGTGCCATGTGTTATATGTATTGTATTGATTTGTATTGTCATGTTATTGTGTTATTGCAGACAGATAGGTTAGAGTGAAAATTAAACCTGTCTGATTCGTTAATTTTTAACAAGTTAGAATTAAGAAATTGGATAGGAATTAGAGCCTAATTCACCTTAGACAAACTAATTAGGGAACTAACTAACATTAGAGATATCCTCTTCAACACTTGAATAGGATGATGATAAGTGTAATATAGTGGGTCTTTTGGGAGCTCTCCTAGTATATACGTAGAGAAAGAGTGAGATTCAAGAGAGAGAGAGAGAGAGTTCATCTAGAACACCAAGAGGAAGAAGAAAAGTGAAGGAGAAGTAAGAATTCAACTCAATTCTTTAACTCTAGGTAAGAGTTCTTCTCTTGTATCTCACCAATTTGAAGAATCATATTTATACTTATGGAATTCAAGATCATTTAAGAAGAATATAAACTTGATTATAGGATTTGTGGTTAGAAATGGAAATTAATACATGCATGGCATAATTCTTAAACAATTATGATCATACATTCAATTTCTTACATATAATTTTCAATTTGAAGAGAAACTCCATGGGAGTTGAGAGTTTTGGCTCAAAAGTTACAAATTTCATGATCATAAATTTCAACATTTGAAGTGAAATTAGAGTTGAGAATATATGATCATATAAATAAAAGATTGGATGAGTTGATTCTAAAACCTTAACATGCATGGCATGATTTGCATGGAAATTGTTTTCACACACTTAAATTCATGTATGGTTCTTCAAATGTGAAGGATTTTGAAGATTAGAGCTCATACTTGCATGTTCTTTACAATTACATATTAAATTGGAAGTTTGCTTTCTTCATGCCAATTTTGGGGTTTAATCTTTGGTCATGGTTTTTGTTTTAAGGTACAAGTGTTAATCCTCCATGAAAGTATGAGTTCTTGGCTTAGAATGCACGGTATTGAAGTTAGAATATACACTAGTTGAGGTTCTACAACATAGCAAATTTTCGGATTTCAAAACACCCAGTGCCGCACGTGTGGCTTGGAGCCCCGTACGTGCGGAAAACAAGGTAGATTAGAGCTTGCATACTAAATAATTTCACCTGCGAGGCGCACGTGTAGTGGAGGTCCCACACGTGCAGCCAGGACCCCTGCACGTGCAGCCCTTTGGGCAAACTCGATTTTGTTTCCGCTCCTCTTTTCCACCTTCCAGGCCTCTGTTTGCATGGTTTTAAAGTGTTTTTCATGTGCTTTTACATCTCATGAACACAAATAAATTAAAGAACAAAAATTTAACCAAACGGATGAGCAATGATTAGAAACTGAGAAAATAAACATCAAAATAAGTAAAAAATGAAGAAAACCAACTGAATAAATGAATGAATTGTGTATTGAACCGTTGTGCTTGAATTTGTTTGTTTAGGTCGGACGTCGTATCTTTAGTGCCTTATAGCATGCATTTCAAAGAGCCCACTGTGAGTAACAAAGTTGTAAAGCTATGTTTAAGTTTTAATTATTTTCTAAATGATATTGTTAAGTTCTATTTCTGAAATGATACTGTTTATTGAATGAATGATTGTTCTATTTTATTAACTGTATTCATGGCATCCATCGCATACTGCTACTGTTTACTATTACTGGTACAGAAATCTCTGTTAGTTCAATTTTTGGAACTATTGTTACTGTACTGAAGGCCATCAACTGACTTATAGCGATCTCGGTTTTCCCTTCATTGTTTAATTGTATTTCAGACTCGGCTCTGTGGATATGTTGTTGCCTTATTCTCGTTTCCATCCTTTACTCTTTGTATTTTAGTCTTGGGTTGTGTTGGGCAGGTTTGGAACAAGTTGGTTGTGTTTGAAAACCAAAAGTTGATACCCAGATTTTGGCCTCCACGCTCGAGCGGGGCTTTTGACGCTCGAGCGGACTCTTTTGTTTTTTCTTCTCTGCTCGAGCGAGCGTTTTGACGCTCATGCGTGATTTTTCATCTCTCAGTATTTTGTTCTGTAGGTCGTTGGACGCTTGAGCGTCCACTTTCACGCTCGAGCGGGGACCATCAACTGCAAAACTTCTGGAAGTGTGCATCCGGCACTCGAGCGGCGTTTTTTATGCTTGAGCATGTGTCTGTGTCTGACGCTTGAGCGGGGAATCCCACACTCGAGCATACCTGTTTGTATATCAGTCTGAATTTCGACTTTTGGATCACTTTTTCGGTGCCTCTTCTCTCTCTAACTTTTCAAAACCTCCATTAGAGAGCTCATCTCTCTAGATTTTAACTTCTCTCTAAGGTTTGATCTAGTTTGAGTGATCCTCTTCCTTAGTTCCTTTGCAAAAAGTGTGGGGTTTGGCTTGCTCTTCATTTTGATCCGAAAATCTTGGGATTTGGAGCACCTTCGAAATTCTTCATCTTCTCCTTTGGGTCTCTCCATTTAAGGTAGGGATAACTATTCATTTTTATGATCTTTAACATAGATGTTGGGTATTTTGTATAAATGGTTTGATTTGGGAAGTTAGGGTTTGAGATTTGAAATATTGAAAAGAGGGATTTTGTTCCTTTTGAACTATATATGTGAATGTGGGTCTCAAAATGAGGTTTTGAACGTTTATTAATGATATTTGAACCTTTGGGTCAATATTGGAAAACATGGGAAAAATGTCATATTTAGATTTTTATTGGGTCATTAGTGTGATTAATTACTTTCATTGTGAAATAATGAAACTGGCTTAGAAATAGTGAAATTGAGAAGTTATGAGAAAGAATGGTGGAGTTGGATTGATTAATCACTCACTTTTGAAAATATTGATAATTTATCTGTTGATGCATTTATTATCTGTTTAGAAATAATTTCTTCGGGCTATCGGTGGAGGATAGTCTTGATTGTTGTAGACACTGCATGATGATTAGGTGAATTAAAACTAATCGGTTGAATATGTCATCGAATATGACGGTTGGAATAATACATCGAATTTGTGTATTGATTGACCGTGTATATGATAATTGTTTATATACAATGTTTTGTGTGGGAAAAGATAGAGGATGTACTCCACGGTTTAAGGAGGAGATAGAGGATAGACTCCTAAACCGGATATTATTTGGGAGGAGATAGGGGATGGACTCCATTGATACAACGAATCTATGTATCATTTGTGAAGTATGGAAGTGTTTTATTATGAGTTGCTATCTCATGTGAATTGTGAAGTATGGAAGTGTTTTATTATGAGTTATAACCTCATTTAAATTGTTGTTATTGGAAAGGTTCTAACATGAGCTGTAGTCTCATGGAAATTGTTTGGCCAGGTTCTGAGCCATGTTTATAAATCGAAATTGCTAAGTAAAGGAAAATGGAATGAAACATGGACATATCTGCTATGGAATTGGGTTGTGTCGTATGTTGGTTTATATTAGTTAAACATTTATCAAATGCTAATGTTTTAGTTATTGCTCATATTATATTTAGCATATCTCTACTGGGCGTTGGCTCACCCTATATGGGACATCATTTTCAGGTTCAGGTGATATGCCACCTCCAAGGACGTAGCTTGTGAGGCTTGAGGGTGATAACTCTTTTTGTTGTTCTCTTTTGTATATTACATGTATATCAAGTCATGGGCTTATTTTGTGTAAAGAGTTAGAACTCTACTTTTGTTGAACTCAAGTGTTGACTTGGAAAGTTGTAAGCTTATGGGGCATTTACTTTTGTTGTCAACATGTAATATTTCTTGTAAGAATACTCTGATGTTGATAATATGATATCTCTTTTTGTATCATGAATGTATGATTTTGGGTTTATTTTTGAGGGCGTTATATGACTGTTTGGTCTTTAAGACCTACTGTACTGTTCTGCTATAGGATGTATCACATATGACTACTATGATTACTATATGACAGATATGACATGAAATATGAGACATTGATTGAGTATATGATCTATTGATGCAATTGACTATTTTAAATACTGAAAGGACATTCATTCTTAATCCTTTACATATTTGTTATTCGCTGGGCTTTAATTCATAGTTTATTATATTTATGTAGGTGGCCAAGCACCGGAACAAAGTTAGCGGCGTCAACCTGATTCCGTTTTGTCAAGCCAACCTGTTGTGCCTCGCCGCGAGATTCTGAACCATTTTTGTCAAGGCTTTTTGGAGTGATCTAAATCTACTCTTTTTGAATGTTATATGGAGTCAAGTGAATATTTTATGACTTTTGCTATGATAATGGGATTTCATTCCCTAATTTGTGTCTTGTCATGTATATATGTGTTTTATAGACATAAGTGTTTGTGTATATGAACGTTTATTTCCATTCAGATCCTCCCAGCTCATTGGACGATATATTCTATTATTGATTGGCTTCCGCCAATCCATTTTTATTGTATTATTGTCATTATGGTTAAACAGACTTTCGATAATCACGAATTACTGACCAATTACAACGCTAAACCTATAAGGACAAATTTGAGTTGTGACAGTTTTCAAAGTACGAGCCTTGTGTCATTTTTTAGTTCATAATATTTAAATTGGGTTAATTTGATTCCTAATATACAAAAAAAATTATTGAAAATTAAATTGACACAACTTAAACATTAGAGATCAAATTAAAATATTTTTATAAGACTCAAAATTTAAGGATTAATAGTATAATCAACCCCGTATAAAAACAATTTGTTACACATTTCCAAAATGTATGTATAATAATATAGCAATGCTAGGTATCATGAAAAACCTTTCATGAAAATAATTATGAAAGTTTCGTGACCCTTGGATTACATTTAGAATGAAGCACCACATACTAATCAAGGTAATTCAAGGATCATAAATTTTTCATGATCATTTTCATGACAAAATTTTTATGATATCTAACTTTTTCCATAATAATAATAATAATAATAATAATGATGAGGAAATTAGTGAGCACATGACCTTGTGAGGGAAGGACCATCATCATCATGTAGAGCTGGCCTCCCAAGTGAGTTGGCAAGATCAGGCTCCTTACGAGTATTGAGTAACTGTGTTACATATATCTTCTCTCTCTCTCTCTCTCTCTCTCTGAAGGGAAGCTTACTTTGGTTTCATCGAGCTTGAATTGAAGGGAGTCTTTTTCTGTCTTTAAAACACACTCTGGCGCTTGGTTTGTGTTGGGTTGGGAGGAGCAATGGCGTCGTCGTCGTCTATTGCAGCAACGGCCTCAGTTGCCTCTGTCTCCAAAACTAATCTTCCTCATCCCCAATCCTACCATTCTCACTCCAAACTCTTCTTTCGTCTCTCGCCCAGACCCAAACTCCGATTCTCCACCAAGGTTTTCTTTTCTTTTCTTTTCTTTTAATCTCTACCTGTGTTTACTATTTGATTTTCATACGTAGACTTTCTGATTGATTCGTAATCCATCTCTGCTTCTCTCTCATTTTTCTTATATGCCCTTGTGTTTGTATATTGGTTTCTGATGCAAGATCGGGTTTTTTTTTTTTTGGTAAAATTTTCTCTTCTCCGTTTGTTTGCTGAGAAAACCGAGCATTAGAACCAAAATTGTATTGGCGAATCTAATCCAAGCTTACTGGAGGTTTCTGTTGTCTTTAGTGGCAATTACTGGATGTTTTCAAGTTCCATTCCTTTTTCTTTTTGGGAATTTCTTGCTAGTTTCTTGTTTTGCTTGGTGTGCTGTTTTATTCTGTAGATGATTTGTGTTTCTGTCTTTTAGAATTCAAAATCAGAAATTGAGCCATTTTGAACTTGACTCATTTTCATATGTGAAGATTTAAATTTGTCTATTTCTTTTTTAAAAAACATAGAATTGTCTAATCTAAATTCATGTGATTCAAAATCTATTAAGATCAACTTCTTCATGAATTTTGAATTTACTAATGTATAAATTTGGAAGATTTGAATTACTTAATTTCAAAAAATGAAATAATTCAATTTGTTCAATCAAATCAACCCTCCCCAAATCTCTCAACCAAACACAACCTTGATGAATGTAATAATTCTTTTTTAAGTGTTGGGGCTCATTGAGTTCTATTTTACTGTTCAACATTTCAATATTTGTCATGGCTAAGTTGAAAGTAGTTGATCTAGGCTTTATGGTTTTCGCATATTTTTAGTGATAAAAATGAATGTTTGTACATGCAAGAAATACTAGTAATTATTATAATATTAATAAATAAACAAAAATTGTAAAATATAAAATTTTAAAGAATGATGCTTTTAGTTGCTATCATGGTTGAGCTTCTTCCAAGTCATTATTACTGCTGACCACATTACAATGAAATGACTCTACATTTATATCACAAAGCAAAATTTTTAAATGCGTGAGTTCAATTGAAGTTAAAAATTACTTTTTCCACTAAGGTTGGATTGTCATGTAATTCAGTTATACAAGTAAAGTAATCAACACTTCCAAATCCCTTTTTTCAATAACATGTGATGCCAAACGTCGCTGCTAAATTTTTATTGTACACTATACCAAAGGTTAGGTGTATACTTAATCTTTCTCCTCCAAAACACACATTAATGTGTACTATTTGGGCGTTGTTTTATAGATTTTGGGAAGTGTCTGTTTTCAGGCATTTTCCTTTGTTTTGGAAGAGTTCATGATATTGTTCCTTAATGTTAGTGTTAGCAGCTGTTGTATGTGAGAATACTCGGGGGGGCTTCTTTTTTTTTTTTGTGTACTTTTTATATTTAGGGTTTACCAGCCCTTTAGTGTCTGTAAAATTTATGCACTTCTTGCTTTTATTTGCACCAAAGTTGAAATGGGCATCATTTTGATGCAACTTTTAGAGATTGGGATTTCAAGCATGACAACTTGGTTTGAGTTTGTGCATGGCTGGTTTAATGTTGGCCTTGTTAAGTTTCTAACCCATCCACCCGCTTATCACCCTTGATTAAGAGGGACCAACATGAGTGTCATTTTTTTGCGTCATAGCTGAATTGTCTAACCATTGGAGCTTCAATTCACCATCATCATCATACCCAGAACGTTTGGAACAATTGAATCTACAGCTATGCCTTTCTTTTGGTGGGAGTAGGAGGATCTGAACCAATAAATATTGGAATGCATAACCTATATGTGATCTTTGAAGCTTTTGTAAATATGTGGCCCTAGTGTGAGGACTTTTTTTTTTTTTCCTTTCTTTTTTTTCTTTTTTTGTGAATAGATAAAACTGCTCTTCAATTCAAAAATTCTCCTATGACTTCAAAAAACTTTTGTCCATTAACACAAAATTACTTTGGAAAAAGCCAGGGAATACCTTGGCATTATGGCTAGCACGCCTTCTTGCTCTTGTGGTATCATCATCTTTTCAAGAGGTGATACTTTTGTAATACAGCAGAATATAGGAGGGTCTTTACCATGTGGATTTCGCCGTTTTTCTACCTCGATTTGAAAGTTATTTATTTTAATATGATCCTTGACTCTACTTTCTGAAGCCATTTGCATTATATTTTACTTCAAATTGAGGTATCTACTCTCTAGGACTCTCGTACTGATATGTGGTTGTGCAATTGATATCCAAATTGTAGGGTTTGCAGTCCAGTTGGAACCGTTCCAACGTGATAAAAGCGCAGTTGAATGAGGTAAACTTTCAATGGTTTTCATTAGAAAATCTATTTTTGAATTTTTGATTTATCATGGACTCGCTATTGGAGCCATCTGTTGCTTTCAAGGTTGCTGTCGATGAATCCTCAAACGCTGCATCTACTCCAACCAAATCAGAAGTACCAGCAGCAGAACCCAAGGATGCTAAGCCATCAAGTGAGACTTCTCCTGCAGCTTTGGCTTCAGAGGAATCCATATCTGAGTTTATTAGTCAAGTTGCAAATCTTGTCAAGTATGTGATTTCAACCTTTTGGGGGATCTTTGTTTGGTATCTTTCCCATTTATTCTCAATCAAAGAAGCAACATTTTTCCTGGTTTTGCAGACTAGTTGATTCCAGGGATATTATGGAATTGCAGTTAAAACAGTTTGATTGTGAACTCTTAATCCGTAAAAAGGAGGCCATGCCTCAACCAACATCTTCTGCTCCTGTTGATATTATGCATTCGCCCCCTTCACCAGCTGCAGCACCACCAACTTTCCAATTGCCCCCATCTACGGCTGCTCCTTCTGCACCCACACCTTCAGCCCCATCTGTATCACCTTCTCCACCTGCTGCCAAGTCAGCTAAGTCATCCCTTCCACCTCTTAAATGCCCCATGGCAGGGACATTCTACCGAAGTCCAGCACCTGGTGAACCACCGCTTGTTAAGGTGATTATTCTCTAATTTGTGATTTCTGTGGATTTTGAATAATCATACTTGTATGATTTTTACTGCCTTGCAGCGTCTTTCTCTATTTTTGAACTTGTTTTCACTTTGGTTGACTTACGCAAGTAGCTTTTTCTGTAGGTTGGAGACAAAGTACAGAAGGGACAGGTTCTCTGCATCATTGAGGCCATGAAGTTGATGAATGAAATAGAAGTAAGGCTTATAATTAATTATTTCTTTTGCTCTACAGCTCGTCTTTTGTGTCATACATGTGTTTCCTTCAATTAAGTATATTGCTTCCTTTCAATTAACTATATCACATGGATTCTTCATAATGTGTGAACTAACTTTGTTAGGTAAGTCATGATGTGCATCTTACTAAGAGAGATTGCTTGTTACACCTACCGTCAGACTTGTACCCAAGATGAGTAATGAAGGAATAGGAGCAAGATATTAGGGGAATTGTTTTGACTTATTTTAGTAGGTGGACATATTTATCGAGAGAAGTACCCATTTGTAACAAGTCCTGTTCCATAAAAACTAAACTCCAACTGAGTTAGAAGCAGAGACAATAAGAATGTTTAAACTGCTCAGCCTGTCAATGTCATTCTCCTGGGTTTTAAGATTTTGAAAAGTATGATTTTCAAGATGTATTCAATCAATTTACATGATTATCTTAGTCCATGTCATGTTGCTGTTGATCAAATAGTCAGTGATTTCATTCATATTTATTCTAAATTGTTCAAACTGAACCTGGAAAGACCCTTGTGACACCAAGGGTCAATTGTTCCCGTTAAGAGTGGGACTCTAAGTGACTTACAGCTTGTCTTTAATGTATTGCTGTTCTATCTCAGTGTTCTGGACTCAATTATATTGTGTTGGCTGATGTAAATACTGATGTTAGCAGTAGCTTTGCAATTATTTTCTTGCTAAGAGGGGGGAGTGCATCCTTAGTGAGATTCATCTAGATGTTTGTCTTTATTGCAAGTTAAGCTGTGGTATCATTGTTTGTGTCCCTATTGTGTTTTATTCCTCTTTTGTTTTCCTCCAATCTGTATTCTGCTATTCTTTTATTCTAGTTCATGTTTTCATTTCTTGTAAAATATAAAAATAGCTTTGTGAGACAATAGCATCTAGAGAATTCTTGCCTAAGATAGCTTTATGAAAGTAACCATTTCCACAGAATTCTTACCTATTTAGCAAATTAAATAGAATCTAGAGTGATCTTTTAGAGAGACAATCGATGCGTACCTATTTAGCAAATTAAATAGAATCTAGAGTGAGCTTTTAGAGAGACAATAGATGCATCCTACTGAAGCCATCCCTATCATTGAATTGAACCAAACTTCCCGGTGACTTGTGGTCTGGGAAGAATGTCTCAGTTTCTGTATTGCCATGATAGCATAATAGTTTTACTAGACCATGGGCATGAAATATAAATTCTGAAAAAGATTGTTTCATATGCTCCTTTAGCTCTAATAGGACTCATCAAGAAACTCTTTTCTGGACTAGATTCTGCAATATTATTATTTCTTTGTACATGTAACAATTACATTACAGAGTTGAAAAGGACTGCCTCTCTTTCGTGTTTTCAAAATCAAAACAACAAAATTCTCATTGTTGATAATTCATTCTCATTCTGAAAGCTTCATTTGCTTTTCTTGATGGAAGTTTAATTTTCCTAGAGCGTATTCTAATTTTTGGCCTAATTGTTCTTTTGATGATCAATTCAACCTCCACCTCATCATGTGATGGATCAGGAAATGAACGCATGTTAAGTTATTAGCCATGGATATTTCATATAAATGCCAGGTCCACACACTATGAGAAACCTACACAAGGACTAATGATAGAACTTGATGACAAAATTGTTGGCACTGACTTGCCAAGGATTTTGAGAGGGCACAAGGGATGGCCCTCCCAAATACATAGAGTAACTAATCGCATTCTCTGTTTGGATAAATTTATTTATTCAACATCTGTCTCTGATTCCAGTAAGAATTAGGACATGCCCAATACTTTCTGGACTAGATTCTGCAATATTATTATTTCTTTGTACATGTAACAATTACATTACAGAGTTGAAAAGGACTGCCTCTCTTTCGTGTTTTCAAAATCAAAACAACAAAATTCTCATTATTGATAATTCATTCTCATTCTGAAAGCTTCATTTGCTTTTCTTGATGGAAGTTTAATTTTCCTAGAGCGTATTCTAATTTTTGGCCTAATTGTTCTTTTGATGATCAATTCAACCTCCACCTCATCATGTGATGGATCAGGAAATGAACCCATGTTAAGTTATTAGTCATGGATATTTCATATAAATGCCAGGTCCACACAGTATGAGAAACCTACACAAGGACTAAAGATAGAACTTGATGACAAAATTGTTGGCACTTACTTGCCAAGGATTTTGAGAGGGCACAAGGGATGGCCCTCCCAAATACATAGAGAAACTAATCGCATTCTCTGTTTGGATAAATTTATTTATTCAACATCTATCTCTGATTCCAGTAAGAATTAGGACATGCCCAATATGAAAGAACTCGACTTTATGCAGTTTTTTAGGGGTGTTAGAAATTCATGAAATTTGAAGCATTATACTATTGTTTCTAACATTCTAACTAATATTGTTACCGTAGATTGCAAATTGACTGCTCATCTTATTATGTACTGTCTATAAGACTGTTCATTTTTTATTTTTATTTTTTAAAAAGTATGATTTATAATAATATACTTATGCCAAAAATATGATCATTTCCCTTTATTTAGGCTGATCAATCGGGTACAGTAGTTGAGATCATTGCAGAGGATGGCAAGCCTGTCAGTGTGGACACAGTGAGTTTCCTTTGACTAATCCAACTATTAGATGATGACTTGACATTAATCCACATTTGATCTTTGTTGATTCGTGGCTTAAGTTGACTTTGCATTTGGTTTTTTTTTGACAGCCTCTATTTGTTATTGAACCCTAAAGATGATATGATGGGACAGCAAGTAAATGGTACAAGAAGTGGAGATTCGGAAGGTGTTTTCGTTTGTAATGTTGTGAGATGCGGCAGTGCAGGGTGTTTTGTTGCAATTAGGATATTTTGCCTGGATGCTATATATATAGCTAGAGATGAGAAAAAGAATGTGAGATTCTGAATTCATTGTGTGTACTTGAAGCTCTACTACGTCCATTCAGATTATTTTGTTTTGATTATTTCTATACTTTGAGTTAGAAAGGATATCTTATTGATGATGTGTTGGCTAATGTATGAAGAGGAGGTTTTACTTTTGAAGAATTGAAATTTCTTGGAAGTCCAGAAAATGCATAACAGATTGGTGTTACTTTGAGCAAGTTAAAACATGTTCTTTGCAGATGGTGGCCTGAGACCATTCGAATCCAATGAGCCTGGAGACTTTCAATCCGAGCTCAAAGTAAGTGAAAAGGCTCTCTTTTAGAAAACTATCAACGAGATCTATATAATCGGTGACCCTATCAAATTTTGAACGAAATCAATCATTTTGATCATTTTTTTTTTTTCTTTTTGTTTTAGAACATATTTTATTTTCTATTTACTTTATTTATTTCACTTTTATTCAGGGCTTAATCAAATTTAGGCTTTTTAGGCACAATTCATATGTTTAGATTTGATTAAGGTTTATTTTATTATTGCTAGGGTTTTTAAGATTGGTTTTATTTATTTATTTATATATAAATCAATTATTGTATTTTTTTAATTTTTTTTTCTTCCCTCCTCTATAAGGCAGAGAGTTTTTAGAATTAGGATTGAGCAAAGAAATCGAAAAATTCACAATCCGAACTGGTCTAGTCCAATTTGATAGGTTTGAACTGATTTTTTCAATCCCTAGTTTGATTTTGGTTTGAAAAATTGGAGAATCGGTCTCTTTAGATCGATTCTGAATTTAAGTTCACAGTTTCAGATTAGAACCGAATTAGACCGTATGTAACTTAAACCATATAAATACCATACACCTTATGCATGCAATCCTAGATATTTTGTTTGTTTAAGGGGGATTTTTTTTTTTAAGGTCCCTAGTATTAAGATTTTATAACATAAAGGACATCTAATATTTTAATAATGTCTAAGGTCCTTCAAATTGATCCAGAGAAAATTCGATCCAGAAAATTTCTCTAGACTTTACAGTGAAATTCTTTCTCTAGACTTTACAGTGAAATTCTCTCCAGAGAAATTCTCTGGACTTTCCAGAGAAATTCTCCCCAACCTAGAGAAATTCTCCCAAAACTAGAGAAATTCTCTCTAACCCAGATAAATTTTCTCCAAAATCAGAGAAATTCCATTTTTCTGTGATTTCCAATGGCAACTCTCTGCTTATCTCTTAGACCCACTTCATCATCTTCATCGTAGACATTCAACTTAATAATATTCAAATTTTAAGTTTCTTCCCATTTAACACATTTTCTCAGCAACCAAGCATGCAACCACTGATACAAAGTCCAGAGAAATTGGACTTTCCAGAGAAATTCTCCCAAACCCAAAGAAATTCTCTCAAAACTAGAGAAATTCCTAGAGAAACCTTTTCAGAGAAATTCTCTCCAACCCAGAGAAATTCTCTCCAAAATCAAATAAATTTCATTTTTTGTGATTTCCAATGGCAGCTCTCTACTCATCTCTCAAACCCACTACATCTTCTTCAACATCTTCATCATAGACCTTCAACCTAATAATATTCAAATTTTAAGTTTCTTCCCATTTCACATATTTTCTCAGCAATCAAACACGCAACCACTGATACAACAATCAACTAATCAATAAAGCATAAAGAACTCAATTGCGCAATTTTCACAATGACCATCATCATCATCATCATCTAAAATAGCACTTAAATTCATCAATCTTCATAGTTACATATACATATATATGTGTGTATAATTCACTTGAAAATAGGGCGGAGAAAGGAAAAGGATTGGTGGACCCAAAGCTGGGGATTAAATAGAATCATTGCTGATTTGCTCGCCGAAAGGGTCATCGTTAGAGAAAGAACCCAACAGGTGGGTCTGGTGGATCTGGGCCTTATACAAGGCCAACCTGAACAGGGCTCCGGCCTCTCCGACCCACTTCATTTTCTTCATCATCTTCATCACAAAGGTTCACTTTGTCCACCTATGCAAAGAAAGATTACAATCTTGCGAAGCATCCAGATATCATCGTTCGACATCCCAGACAAGAGTCCTATCATGAAGGTCAGTGGAAAGAAGAAGAGTCTGATCATAAAGGTCGGTGAACAGAAGAAGAGTCTGATCATGAAGGTCGATCATGGCGGTGGAAGTGGAGGCGGAGGCGGTGACCATTGAAGAGAATGAAGTGAGGTTTGAATTTAGAGAGAGAGAGATGAAATAGAGAAGGTAGAGAGAAGAGAAATAAAGTTTGATTTGACAGAGTTAAATTTTTCTGTGATATATGGATGTGGGGTTAAGGGACCTTAGACATCATAATGTAATATTGTGAATCTCTTCCATTACTTAAAATGAAAGAGGGACCTTAGACTAATTTTTCCTTGTTTAAGTTATGTTTTGAAAAATCATAGGAAAATTAATAAATATTTTCTTAATGTAATGTATTTATTTGGTGGGCATGTTATTACTATTTTTAAAATTTATGATAAGTTGAATTTTTTTAAAAATGTTATATGATTTTTCTTGTGAACAAATTATGTAAAATCATAGTTTCAAATTGAGTCAAACCGTGTTTAAGTAGTTTGATTCAGATTAGTTCCATGATTTAAACGGATTAGTTTGGTTTTAATTTTTATAAAATTATAAACAATAGACTGATCTTGATTTTATCCCAAATCAAACCAATTCGGACCATGCTCATCCATATATGAATGAACATGCCTACTACAGCCTCTTTCTTTTTCTTTTTCTTTTGACGAACAAAAAAAATTCTAAAATTTTGAAAAACGTCCCTTCTTTTTTTAATTTTCCCAAATATATTGAATATCACAAGAAACAAACTATATATAGCCCAACAAAAACAACACCCATTACATTCATGTTTAAATTCAAATCACAAATTAGCAAAAAGGGTCGTCGTGTCAACACCCCCACTACCTTGTCTGGTCTCCTCATCACCATAATCTGAATTACATAATGAGTAAAACTCTCTCTCTCTCTCTCTCTCTTTCTCTCTCTCTCTCTCTCACACACACACACACACACACATATACTTGACCAATAATACAATCAAATGCAAGGTAACATACAAAATCAAGTCATAAGGAGCATGGTCACTCCCAAAAATGAGCGAAGAGTTCAGAACTTACTACTGGTCCCTTCCAGCGCCGAGAATCCACTGAGCAAGATGAGTTAAATATGGCTCTGCTTGAGAACTCTTGCTCAAAATTGGCCCCAGATTCTGAAGCTCCGAATTGAATTCCCTCTCAAATTTCCTGCAAATTATTCATAAGAATGAGAGAGAGAGAGAGAGAGAAAGAGAGAGAGAGAGAGAGAATAATTTATTCTAACATACAAAATAGAATCGGTGACTGTTGCATTTTCAGTGGCATCATATGGTGAGTCAATCTTGTGAATGTCAATGGAAGATGAGATCACCCATTGAGTTGCTGCAGCATACTGAAGGCATATAGATTTCAGCTTCTCCACCTTCTGCACATGCAAAAACTCGGATATATAAAAACAAAAGCAACATACAATAAAAAGAAAAATGGATAGTAGCAAGTTTTCAAGCCAAGCCACCCAATTAGAACTTTCTAGGTCAATAACAACATATCGACTAAAATTTAAAGAAGGACAACTCAAATGAAGGTGGCAAGAGACCCAAAAAAAACAAAAACGAAAAGCAGCATTCAAGATAAAACTAGAAATGAAGGGGCTTGGGTCCCTAGCTTGTAAACGTAAAGGTTCTGAGAAACCCTCCAAGTTGTTATATTTTCAGGGTACAGTTCCAAATTTTGTATCCAGCATCAATTTAAATTTAGGAACGTTGAAATATCCAAACTTCATCAAAATTTAAAAACTTTGGAACAGTGACATGTAAAATTAGTTCAAAAGTTCAACATGGTCCAAAAGGCATGATATCAAGCAGAAAGCTGAATATGACATCGTCCATCACCTAATAACTTGAGCAAAGAAACTCACTCTTCTACACTCAGGAATTGATGATAAAATCAAAAAACCAACCTTAAGAAGTTCAGGAGAAAGAAGCAAGCATTCCCTCAGACACTTCTCAAGGAAAAAATCATGGTATTGGATAACCTGCTTCACAGAAGAAAGTGTCGAGTTAAAGGTGTTAGGAGAAAGCATCCAGGAACAAAAAAACAAACATTCGAAGGCTTGTAGCTTTGTCAATCTATTAATTGAGATAGATATGGGAACAAAGTTTTGTTTTCTATTTTTTGCTTTTACAAAATTGAACAACTATGATACATAAAATCCAATAAGAAAATGCATATATACCTCATCTATGCTCTTTGCTGTTTGTAGTCTATTATGCATCACGTGCCAGTTGGGTTCAAGAACCTGAAAACACAGAATTGTATGATCACACGAGAAATCACAATAGCACAGGAGACCTCAAAACCCTTTGATGAAATTTTTTGGAATAATTTTACGAAGTTCCCACTCTTTGAAAAACAATTACAAATTAGGAGTGGATAAAAAACTATTCAACCCAAAAAAAAAAAAAAAAACTGCAAAAGATAAATAGCCACCACCCAGAAGAAATGGAACATTAAAAAATAAATAAAATAGGTAACTATAAGGCTGAAGGGAAAAAACATGCCTCGAATGTTAGATAGTGTAGAAGGCTATTAATAAATTTAAGCATACTACGACACAGCAAAGACGACCGAGAGATTGCAGTTCCTCGTGTATTAAGAGAACGGACACCCTACAAAACAGGTTGCAGTAACATTAGATAAGCAAAACAAGAAGCTATTATCCACAACTTTTGGAAGAGATTTCAGCTCCATACTTGATGTACTTGCCATGCCCCACAAAGCTGGCGGTCCACATGTTTACAGTGAAACAGGAAACGGAATATCAACTGATATTTTGTTAAGGCTTTTCTTGATATAACAAGAGACAATGGCCAGTGAACCTGAAACGTGAAATAAACAATTGATAAACCTATTGATGACAAACACTACCATGGACACTTCAATTTCGACCAAAAAGCCTTCTTAATGATCATGGGACTCTTAGATTTTGTTTTGGGCTTTCAAACACTATCATACTTGTTAAGCCATGCAATAGATGTTGCATCAATATGGCCCTCTTTGGTGGGCTTATTTTCAGCTTATTTCAGCTTTTAGTTTAATTTAAACTATTTTGATGTGTTTGGTTCAGCTTAACAATACAGCTTATAGTTTTTTGTAAGTTAAAAATCAACTTATTCTTTGAGTGGGGGAGGAGAAGCTTAATTTATAAGTCAAAAATCAGCTTATGTTCACAGTTATAAGCTATAAGCTGTTAAGGTATAAGTTATAATCACTTTTATATATATTATATATCGAAATGTCTGAGGCAACAGCACATGGAGAGGAATAAAGTGTGTTTTCCAAAAAAGGATGAGAGAGAGAGAGTGGGTGGAGGAAAAATATTAAAAATGTTTTGCCTCATAAGAAAAAGAAGTGAGTGGGTGATATGATATGAAGAAGTTGGGTCTGGTGGAGAGAAAAGCTGGTGTGGTGTAATGCTCTCTCTCGAAAAAAAATATAATAATAATAATAATAATAATAATAATAATAAAATGGGACAAATTGTGAGTGTGGAGAATTATTATTTTAGAGGATGGTGGATGGGCAGCATGATGATTATGTGTTTGCACTGGAACTTGAACACAGTGGAGGGATGACAAACAAGAAGAAGGGTCAAAAACCGATGGACAAGAAGATGCCGGAAGACCTCAGCAAGGAACTGGATCTGCAGATAACGGGAGCTGAAAAACCATCCATGTGGGAACTCAAGGTCCATATTCCCACTTTCGGTACTGTTGGAAATTGAGCTGTCTTATCAGTGAGATCCATGCTTCTAGTTAAAGCATTGGAAGTCACCTTCCCACCAGTTCGAAATCGTCAAGAAGCAGCGTTGGAGAGAGCAAAATGGTGAAGTTGGCAAGTTGTATGGGCGACGGCACGAGCCAGCAACAGCTCGGGTCGCGGTGCTGGCGTGTCCGGAGCAAATGTAACCAGCGAACAAAGGCGCGTTGAAGGTCAATAGTGCAGGTCGTGGCGACTGTCACGGTACCGGGGGCTGCTGCAACAGGCGACTGTGGAAGCAAGATTAAGCTCTGGTGAGTTCGGAGCTTTGAGAAATTGATGCTGGATTGGAGTGAAATACTGAGGGTGATGAGAGGTCCGGCGGGCGGCCAAGGCGAGGCTGCCGCCCGCCGGTGAAGCGAAAATACTAGGTTCTCAACCTTGCTCTGATACCATGTTAAAATCGATGTATTATTGATTGATGTATTGTGTTATTTATTTTACAAATGGTGAGTGGCTCATTATATAGGAGAGGGTGAGTGTAGTAGGTGAGGAGTAGGTGAGGAGTAGGTGGTGGTAGGTGATGGTAAATTGGTAGTAGGTGATGGTAAATTTTAACAAATATACAAAATACAATACGTAAAAATGCATATTATTTTTATTTTTATTGATAAATAAATGAACAAATTTTATTAAAAAAGCATCAAGATGATGCAATGAATACAAAAAAACCAACTCTTACCCAATCACATCATCCAAAAAATCTAAAAAAGCAAACATATCTGGATCAACCTTCTGCTCAACCCAACTATACAAAACTGTAAGCAAACGACCCTGCAACCAAGACACATAATGAGAGACCTCTTGAAACGTCCGTCTATTTTGCTCCAACCACACTAACCACACCAAACACAGCAGCGCCAAAACCCACACACGCCGCCTTCGACCACCAACCCGAACCCCACACCAACTCCACAACATGTCCAACACCCTCCGTGGTTGTACCCAAACAATCCCAAAGAGAGAACATATAGAGCCCCACAAACGAAAAGCCATATGACAATGCAAGAACAAATGATCCACGATTCTGCATCTTCACAGCACATACAACACCAAATGACTAAAATATGACCACGTCGCATCAAATTATCAAGTGTGAGATTCTGACCCAAAGTTGCCGTCCACATAAAGAAGGCAAACTTAGACGGAGCCCCCAAAACCCAAATACTCTTCCAAGGAAAATCCCTTCTCACCTCCCCCACCATACTCTAGTAGAATGATGAAACAGAAAAACGGCCCTTAGCACCCACCGCATTCCACACCAAGGCATCCTCCCCCACCCCAACCACCCCCAACCTATACAAGTAACCCCATAACTCCACTAACTGAGTAACCTCTCAATCCCAAATACTCTTCCAAGGAAAATCCCTTCTCACCTCCCCCACCATACTCTAGTAGAATGATGAAACAGAAAAACGGCCCTTAGCACCCACCACATTCCACACCAAGGCATCCTCCCCCACCCCAACCACCCCCAACCCATACAAGTAACCCCATAACTCCACTAACTGAGTAACCTCTCAATCTTGAACCTGTCATCGTAACCTAATATCCCAAACCACCACATCCCCACTCCACTAACTGAGTAACCTCTCAATCTTGAACCTGTCATCGTAACCTAATATCCCAAACCACCACATCCCCACCCCTCAAATAAGATGCCACCATCGCCTTCTGATCCACCACAATACTGAAGATCAAAGGGAAGTGATCTTTCATCAAAACATCCACACACCACCGATCCTTCCAAAAATGCTCCCTCGACCCATCCCCTACCCGGAACCCCACCCGATCCCAAAACTCCACTCTCCCCAACCAAATACTTTTCCATAACCCACAACCATGAGAGCCAGTCACCTCCCTAGTCCCCTAATCCCCCTTACCTAAACCATATTTAACAGCCACCACCTGTCTCCACACCCATTTTGGCTCCCAAGCAAACCACCACAATCATTTAGCCAACAAAGCCCTATTAAAAATCACCAAACTCCGCACCCCTAAACCCCCTGCCACTTTGGATTGGCAAATCCTCCCCCAATCCACCAAATGATATCTAAAAACTTCCCCTCCACTACTCCACAAGAACTCCCTTTGAAGCTTCTCAATTCGTCGTGCCACAGACACCGGGATAATATGCAAAGACAAAAAGTACGTCAGAATGCTATCAAAGTCAATCTTCCCCCTTTCGAAAGATATTGCCTCTTCCACCCTACTAACCGACGCTGAATGTGTTCCACAACTCCTTCCGATACCCTGCACCCCAACACTGCCGCTAGCATTGGCAACCTCTCCACCTCCCCTACTGGAGTCAACTCAGACTTCCTCAAATTCACCCGGAGGCCCAAACATGCCACAAAACACAATAGAACACATCTCAAGTAACCCACCTGCTCCACCACCGCCCTACAAAGAATTAGGGCATGATCTGCATATAATAAATGAAAAACAGACAAAGATACGTTCGTGGAAGAACCCACCACAAAACCCTCTAATAGACCTTCCTGAACTGCTTTATCCAACAATCTGCTCAACGCCTCCATCACCAAAATAAACAATAATGGAGATAAAGGATCTCCCTGACAGAGACTACGATGCATAGAAAAGAAACCTGCTGGAGTACCATTAACCAGAACCGACATCCACAAAGTGGAAATACAGAACCGAATCCACTTATGCCACGTATTGCCAAAACCCATACACTCTAAAACATATAATAAGAACTCCCACCGAACATTATCATAGGCCTTCTCTATATCCAATTTGCAAATCAAACTTGGTTGCCCTGTCTAATCCGAGAATCCACACTCATTAGCCACCAAAACTGCATCTAAAATCTGCCAACCTTCCACAAACACATTTTGAGATTCGGATACAACCACTTGCAAGACTCCCCGGAGTCTATTTGCCAACACCTTAGCCAGCAACTTGTACACACTTCCAAGCAAACTAATTGGCCAAAAGTCCCGAAGGTCTTTACAAATGCCCCCCCCCCCCCCCCCCCTTCCTCTTTGGAATCAAAGCCAAAAATGTTGCATTAAAACATCTTTCAAAATGCCCAGATTCATAGAATGTTGTCAATGCCGCCATCACATCCTCCTTAACCACACTCCATCAATGCTGAAAGAATGCCATAGTAAAGCCATCCGGCCGGCCCTGGAGCCTTGTCGCCGCTCATCGCACAACGCAAAAATGCATATTATATCACCAAGATTGTCAACAATCTAAGCTACTACAAGCTAAACAAGATCTTTGTGTTCATGATATAGAGTGGCATCAAAGGGATATTGTTTACATATCAACAACAAATAAGGCCGCCGCATTTAAAATGGTCTTCACAAGGACAATAACTAGGACAAAGATAACCCAAATAAAGAGACTCATGCAATCTATCCACCAAATATATTTGACAAGTGAGAATGAAAGAATATATATTACCTATATTGCAATACCAGAAGACCAATATCTTTAAGATTCACAAGAAGAGGAAGTTCAAAAGAATAAGAGAAAATAGGGAGAAAAAAGAAAAGAAAAGATCCATCATGAATAATCACAGACCTTATAACTCAAAGAAAAAGTTTCCAAGCCAGTAATGCTCACTGGTTCCTCTAAATCACTAGTATCACAAACAGTCTGGTTGATTTCAAGATCTTTGAGTGTGCACAGCCTTTTGATCAAACTAGATCTTTCCTGAAACCAAAATGGAAAATTCATGAAATAGGGATCGGAAATTCATATTTGCATCATCGCTATACAAAAACACAAGAATCAGCCACTAACCACACAACATGTTAGGTCCTCATGACAAGGATCAGCTGCAGCTGCCGTGGTGCGCAAAGCAAGGTCTAGCAGAGACTAATGTAACCACAAACATATATATATGAGTTACCCTTCAAGTATTTTCCTTTGATTTAATAATTCAAGGAAAGAGAACATGATTAGCCACCAATGAAACAAAAATAACTAAACCTGCAACTTCTCAACAGAAATCTCATCAGGCTTCTTCAAGAGCTCATCTCGAGCTATATCCATAAAATGAACCAAGAAATCACCCTGTTGGATCAGTCATAATAGCATAGAAATGAGTTCCAGGATGCACTGTCCTAGCCCCAAATAAATTTCCGCCGAAGAAAAAAATAGACCCAGAAATTATAGATTCCTGTCTTTATATATCTGAAGGATCTCAATAGTAGAGGTGTATGTTTGATCATACAAAATTAGGCCACTGCCATTGACCATATAATTGTCAGCAAACATTTGTCCAACCAGCAGAGCATATCAGCTTTTGGCCCTAAGCGTCCAACTAAAAAGCCCACTATATTATCCTTTCTAATCTGTCTATAGAATACTCTGTAAACACAATTGAAAAAATCTGAACCAGACGCCTAGCTCCCCTAAAAATATATGGGTACTGAATCCTGATAACCTATTATTGAGTTCCACTTATAAATTCATTGAAAATATGTACCTGATCAAGAAGAAGATAGTGCTTTATAGACCGCAGCTTTCCCATTAGGTCATACTACACAAACAAAGCTATTAATGACATTGATATGAACAGGAGAGAACGTAATTTTGAGAAAAATGTGCAAGTAATTATTGTTGAATAAACTGAACCACACCTTTTCTTTTATGAGATTTAAAAGCTCACCACTGGCAAACTCATATGCAGCTTTTATACACTCAAGATAATGATGATTTGTGCCAAAGCTCATCAATTTTATATTTTCTGACACAGGAACCTGCCAAAGTAATGTGCTGGTCAAGGGGTTGAACTAACACTACCAAACAGAGATCAAAAAAGGCTTATGGGGACAAAAAAATGAACCATAGAGCAAGAACATAGTCATAACAAAACCTGAACACTATGCCCACATTCTCTCATCACATTCAAATATTTTCCTGTCGTCAAAATTGTTCCGGCGGCATTTGCTAGGAAGCTAGGAATATCATCCTTCAGACTGTAACGTTGTCGCCAATACTTTGCACCATAATCTTGAGTAAGACTCTCCTATTGGAAATAAAAAGAGGTAAGAATCTAAACCACACTTCCAATGCACTTATACTTATCAATAAAGTCATACCTTTCGAAGAGATTTGTTCTCGGCAATAAAAAATTCACCATAAGGATCATCAATCACTCCTTCATACACCCACCTTAAAATAAATCAATTCCATATTGAGTCATAACATCAATAACAATGATTTAAGGTTAGTTCCTATCCCCCTTGAGTTTGCGGGGGGCTGTTAAAATGTACCAAAACCTACCACTACACCTACTCCACCCACTTCACCTACTCCACCTACTACTCCACCTACTACATACCTACCTCCTTTAATCTTCTATATATAGGACTCATTGTAAACACTACATATATCAATCAATATTACATCAATTTTAATATATAGGACTCATTGTAAACACTACATATATCAATCAATATTACATCAATTTTAACAAAATTCCTTTTTGGGAAGAAACTTAAAGACTTTCTTATTCGAAGATATTTATTTCTTGCAATGTCTATTCATAAGGTGATGGCCAATGTAATATTTTATTTTTGTTGAAAGGAAAGATCATACATTATAAAAACAAAAAACAAATAGATCATGAATATAGCATATTGGTTACCACATGCAAAAGGCAAGGGAGCCATCTAAAGCATTAGATGTAGACTATCCATATCTAAGATCAGTACTAACAAACTATGTCAGGTCAAGCCCTCAAACAAGAAAACAAATATAAAACATGATCAAACAGGGTATAGAAGACTCAAGCCACTTCATTTGACCAACAAACAAGCTGACACCAAACTTATGTGTCTTAAAATAACTAGAAGACCCCAATAAACCTCCTGAGAGCACCACACACAATCTTAATGCTAACATACAACTCAGACATTGGAATTTAAGAACATCCACTTGCACATATTTATGTACCAATGATCCATACCAAGTACCTTTCTAATATGCCAAGATATGCAGAGCTTGCACTTTGTGTCATCTTTTCCAGTAATAACCTCACTGCATGATCACCTGCCATGGCCTTAGCCTATAAACAGAGAAAACAACAATTACCTAAGCAAATAAAAATAGCAACCCTTCATACAAGTAAAAGGTTTAAGTTCCATAACTTCTACATCAACAAAACCTATACTAAGCCAAACATTAGACCTGGCTTTGCAAGAGGTTAAGAACTGCCGAGCCCACAAAATTATCAGCTGAAGCCTTTTTTATCACAATTGACAGTGCTTGCATTGGTCCCATCATTGGCTGCAATAGTTTAACAAAAGAGCATTCAAAGTGAAGACTGCACAAAGAAAAAGGTCCAGGATTCTGATAAGAGCCAAACCTGAGAGTAGAACCATAATCCTTGAATAGAAAGTCTTCCTAGTCGAAACTGATGTTCAAGTTGTGCCACCATGGCCTGGTAATCCTGAAAAAAGATATAAATGCAGAAATTTTTTTTATTTTTAAAAAAAATGATATACGATTTGTGTACCGATTTGACAACTATGCTTGTCACCTCCATTAGAGAGTGTGAGCTAAGAAGCACAAACACTTCTACGATGGTGACGTTTTCGTGTTGGACACCAACACTCCTCGGACACGTGTGTGATACTCTTTTTTCAGTGTCCATAATTAAAAATAAAAATTTTAATTTCGGACATGTGTTCGACACTATTTTGTGACGTGTCCGTCACTTCTTGGCCATGTCTATCGCTAAAAAATAAACATGAGATCAACACTTAATGGATATTTGCTAATGCTGGTTTCAAAGTATAATTCTTAAGAATAACCCTATTGAAGTTTCAAATAAAATTAAATGAAAAAGATACGTAAATGTATTAGCAGATGGCTTAAAAAGATAAGGGAAATGATGTAATTATATATTTTCGCTATAGTTTGTCTAACTTTTAACAACTATATGGTCCATTAGTCGAAAAAATCATGCAAGAGAAGTAGATACAAGATTTGCTTAGTATATAGTAATTAAATAAATCAAGATCCCTTTTGATCATCAAGATCTAGGCCTTCTTTTCATTTCTGTTTCACTTCAACCTTAGAAGAAATCATAGATTATGAATAATTCACTTCAAGTCTAGCCTAACATTTTTAGTTTCCAGAAATAAGACAATCCAAAGAATGTACACCATGCAAACTGGTTTTTGAATACAACAGCAGATAATCCGCTTACAGGTGAAGGAAACAAAACAGCAATCATCTAAAATCCAACAACAGTTGAGCAAATGTCTGGCAACACAGAAACCTACTAGGAGGAGAGCTCGTAGTGCAGCAGCAAAGGCATGATTAACTAGTCCGGTCTTGAACTGAGACCTTGATTCTACAAACTGATTAATCAACAAATAGCTCTCGCACAAAGGGAATAACCGTTTTGCTGATTCCTACAATGAAGATTGTGATCAATTGAAGCAATTAAGTGAAAGTTAACATTAAATGAGCAATTAATGCATCAACTCCCAATCATCTGATAACTCCCTAGACAACTTGATTAAATACTTCACTATTTTTGCGAGATTGTTGAAACTTATTCAAGAGCACATGTTGAGTTTTAGAATACTCGATTAGGTACTTGATCAAGTTCTCCATGAATCTTTTTTGTAGCTTAAAATCCATGAACCTGGTTTTTGACTTCAAAGTAATCTGAATTCACAATTAATCACCACATAAAAACATTAGTCTAAAACCTCGTCAAAGTAAATTGCTGCTTTGGGATAAGACTTCGGTAATTTCCCTTTTGCACACATTAATTCCATTTTCAGGGAAAGTGGGGAAAAAATAGCTAAATCAAGAGAGCCGAAACAAGGTCATGGCAGAAAATACATAAAATAATTGCTCATGCCAACAGATTTGAGGACCCTACAAAAAATATTCAAACCTGAAGTGCTAAATCCATAGATGCATCAACCTTGAAGGTAAAATTATTATCCTTCCCTTGGACTCTCTTGATTGAAGTGTATCGTCCTTCAATTCCAACCAAAGAAGACAGAAGATCGTCAATGACAAGCAGCTCCTGCATATCAAAAGAACACAAACTTACTTATGTAACAGATCATATGGTAAATCACAAATAGAGAGAATTTGCACCTACTTTAAATTTTCTTATAATAGAACTCGTCCCCACATAGCTCTGCTAAACCCCAATTTCACAAATTACTGCCAAAAATACCTAAATTACTACACCATACACATTATGCTCTAATTAACACAGGAAACAAATTATCTCACCCACAACACGTCATATACACAAAATTAAAATAACAATGTAATTATACGCACAATAATTAATTAATTTGTTAAAATACAATGTATAATAAACCCCAATTTCACAAATTACTGCCAAAAATACCTAAATTACTACACCATACACATTATGCTCTAATTAACACAGGAAACAAATTATCTCACCCACAACACGTCATATACACAAAATTAAAATAACAATGTAATTATACGCACAATAATTAATTAATTAATGGAAAAAAATCCCAAGTCCCTACACTATCCCACCACTGTTACCGCAACACCACCACCATCAAAAGAAAATAAATATGTATGTGTGTGTGTGTAGAAAGAAAGAAACGGGCATAGATCAGAACAATTAAAAGCTAAAATACTTATTTATTGACAAGTCTATTACATGCTGAGCAATGAGAACAATTATGATCATTCACCTACTAATAACTTGACACAATTTTAATCAACAAATGAGCAATATCAATGCGATACACAATTGTACCATTTAATCATTCAAAAGATGCCTTTAAAGCATACCTGAATTGAAGCATTATAGGAACTTATGGCCTTCTCCATTCCAAGACTGCTTGGGAAATAATTAATGAAACCAATAAATGATAAATATTGTTATTTCCATTTGTTATTATTAGTAAATGCATAAAATCTACATGGATTAGGGAAATTTAAAAGGAAAATTATACGAAAGTCAATAAATAAACTACATGAAACAACACATAACCGAAGAAGTATGTACCTAAATGAATCCATGGAAAAACCCTTTGATTCAGCAATTAGAGAGGATGGCTTTGTTTCCTAATTAAACATACCACATACATTGTCAAAAAAAATTATGGATTTCCAAAAAAGGATAGAGAAAATGAAAAAAGTTTGGCAGCTGAGAAAAACAAGAATTTTCAAGTCTTGGCATTTATTCAAAAGTTTAACTTGTACTAAACCAAGTCAATTTTCTTAAGCAGTTAATCTTTCTACAAAACAAAACAAGAGAATATATACATACAAAAAGATATGTGCACATGAACACATGAAGGAGAAAATGTGGGAACCTGGTGGAATTGACCGGTGAGAAAGGGTCTCTCAACATTCCATCGAGGAGTTGAACACAATGAAGAGGTTGGATCCATGTAGCAGTAAACCCTAGCAAGATATATGTGTAAACATATAAATATGCATGTACATGGAAGAACTGAAACCATATTGGATGAAAAAATTGGAGCAGCAAAAGATGAGAGCTTTCATTTGCGCACCACAGTTTCTCTCAGTTCACACACACAAAATTTTAAAATAAAAGAACAATTATTTTTGCTCAGTTCACACCACTTGACCCCATAATACCTTTATCTTCAACCTTCTAACCCTAACCCTACAGACACCACCACCCTTCGGCAACAACAGATTTCTTCACAACAAAGATGGTATCATCATCACAGAGGAGAATCCAGCCTGTAAGCAGTGAAATACACAACACCAATTACTAGTCATGTTGATCAATTCTACACTTCTTCATCAACTTTATCTTTTGTTGTTGGCCAGACAACAAGTCATGGTGTTTGGTCAGTTCTTGAATGACGCTCAACTTCAATCTGAATCAAACATCTTGAACTTGAAAATGAAACTTCATAACATTCACAAAGACAATGCTTCCATGGAGATTTATCTTCAATGTGTTGAAGAACTTAGAGATAATTGTCTGCAGTATCAATGCATTTCGATGACAAAAAATTATTACACATAATTCTCAAGGGCTTTACCAAAACCTGAGTATGAAACCTTCTGTTCTGCAATTAGGACTCATAATAAGTCTATTTCCTTTGAAGATCTTTATATCTTGTTGCACTCAGAGGAACAGTCCTTTAAAGCTCAAAGTAATGCTAAAGCCTTGTCAAATCTCATGGCAATGGTCATTTCATCCTCCAACACTTACAATTTCAAGAATTCAATAAGTCATAAAAAAAATTCTCCAAGGCATCATTTTCTAATCGAAATGAGGTGGTCGTTCTACTCATGGTTTTTCATCTTCGCCACAATTTAAGAACACCCAATCAAGTGGAGATACTAGACTAATTTGTCAGATTTGTAATAAACCTAGTCATCTTGCTTTGAACTATTATCACAGGATGAACTTCTCCAATCAAGATTGACATCCTCCTTCCAAACTTGCTGCCATGGCTGGCTGACTGACACAACACAAGTGACACCAATTAAATTACATCAGAGCTACCTCATTTTTCTCTCAGAAATCCCTACACTGAAAATGATCTTGTTTATGTTGGTAATGGACAAGGTCACCAACACTAGCACATCTCCTTTCCAAAAATTCTCCTTCCTTTAAGCAACAAAACATTTTGCATATTTCCTTCCATTCCCTCCAATCTGATATTTGTGCATCAATTGTGTAAGGACAATAATTGCTCTTTTCCTTTTTATACTAATCACTCGAGGAAGGTTCTATACATAGGGCAGAGTTGGAATGGTAGCTATCCCATTCTTGGCTCTACATCTACTGGATCACAGACCTCTCTTTCTCCTTCTGTCAATGTTGGAGCTAGGATACCAGTTACGGCATGATAGATTGAGTCATCCAACAATGAAGCTCAACAAATTACTTTATAGCAGCTGCACCATTGTACTTCTCATGCTTATAATAGAAACAATTACTCTTCTTCATTTTGTATTCATTGCCTCCATAGGAAAATGTCTCAGATTCCTTTCCCATCTCTTCAACATGGACTAGTACCCCTTTGCAAACAATACACAATGATGTTTAGGGCCCTGCCACCATTCCTTCTATGAATGGTTTACAAGTATTATGTGCCTCCTATAGATGATTATACTATATTTACTTGGATTTCTCCACTTAATTTCGAGCCTAAAGTCTTTGCATTTGCCACATTCTGTCATTTCAAAGCACTTTTAAAAATCTATTGTCCCTTCAAATCAAAGTTCTCAGGTCAGATGGAGGGGGGGAATACATGAGGACTACTTTAAATAATTTTACTGCACTCATGGCATTTTTCATCAACTCACTTGTCCACATACCCCTCAATAGAATGGGATAGCTGAAAAGAAATATAGGCATATTACAAAGTTGAAACAAGCATTCCCTTCATGTGTAAAGCTTCTTTACCTCTTCAATTTTGGACCAATGGCTTTGCCACTGCAGTATTTCTTATCGATTGCCCACGCCTATTATTTCTCATTCATTCTACACTTTTTCAATCACAATTCGGAAAATCCTCAGAATACACTAATCTTAAAAGTTTTGGTTGTAGATGTAGTTGGTATCCATATCTGAGATCATATAATTCTCACAAATTGCAGCCTCACGCAAAACATTGTTATTCTAAAGGATATCTTTGTTTTGATATCTCCTCTGATAAACCCTTTTGTCTCTAAACCTTGTTTGGTTTGTTTTTCAAAAAAAAAAAATTGGAAAAAATTCTCTACAAACAAATTTTCAAGAGTAATCAAACCAAACAAATTTTTCCAAAAAAAATCTCAAAATTTTGTTAAATGGAAAAAATTCTCTACAAACAAATGTTCAAGAGTAATCAAACCAAATAAATTTTTTCAAAAAAAATCTCAAAATTTTGTTTGGTTACCTACTTTCCAAAATCACTCTCTCTATCTCATACACATCAAATCAATCAACTTTTTTAAAACTCTCCCCAAAACAATTTTCCAAAACCATTTCTAAGAAAAGGCAAACCAAACAAGTTTTCGTACTTTTTATCTCAAAAACGACTCTACAAACGCAAACCAAACACACGCTAATGAACAAACTTTTCCTTTTGCCCAATCTTCTCCAAATACTTGGTCTCCTGCTCTTTATCTGAGAAATGGTTAAGAGCCCTTTCGTTTTCTGATCCTTGCTCTTTCCATTCCTCTAGTCCCATCCCATATGTGGTTTGAAATTCTACAATCCCATCTCTTGCTTCCTCTCTTCAGTACCTGCTATGTCTATTTCTAGTCCTAGTGAAAATAGCTACAGTTGATTGATGCTTCCAACTCTGATTTCTATGCTCCTTTCACCACTTGTCTTTCTAATCCTTCTCCATATAAGTTGGAAAAAAAAATTAATTAAATTAAATTAAATTAAAAATCCTTTGTCAACTTGAATAATATGCAAGTTCATAGGAGAGATGCATTGATGATAACAAAGCAACCAATGAGAAAGAGCTTAACTTATCCTATCCCTACCAGAGACCCAGGGCTTTGTTTTGGATTAAACCAAGTTAGGGTTAGAAATTGAGGAGAAACAATAGAGAGAGAGAGAGAGAGAGAGAGATGTACCAGGCAGGCGGTGGAGATGGAGGAAGAACGGCGGTGGAGCACGGTTGGGCCTGGCGGTAGTATGGTGGTGGAGATCCAACGGCAGTGGCTCGCGTTTGGGAGGGACTGCCAGTGTATAAAAGTAGAGAAAACGGCGCCGTTTCACCAAGAGTTCTGAAATTTTACCCCACGTTTGATGTTCGTTAGTGCGTTGGTTACACCTCTTTTTTTCTTTTTTTTTTATGTTTTGACATAAAAGTTTTTCAACTAATATATTAAATCTATCATTATATTATTTTTAAAAAAGAAATTATTTTAATTTAAAATTTGACAACTTGAAACATATCAAATTTGACATATTGAGTTCATACCAAATGTCAATTTAATATTTTGCATATCGGATAGATTTCATTTTTCATGTAAAAATTGAACTCTTACAGTGCTACATAAGATTTGACACTTCAATTGTAGTTTTTCATCTTACTCATTTAATCCCATGACTTTTTTGTTGAATTCCATAAATCTCATTGTATAAACTATTCAGAAGTTTAAATTATTTTTTAAAATTTTTAAGAATTTGTTTTGAACAATTTTACTCTTAGTGGAGTAATATGCACAAAAAATGTCAACTTTTTATTTTTATTTGTATTGTGTTTATAACTTCATTATCATGAGATCTAAAATATCAAAAAATATATATATTTGATGACATCTATCAAACAAATTTTTAATTGTATATGAAATTACATTTTTAAAAAAAAAAATTAATACCGTGGGTTTTCTTATAATTAGTGTATTGTAGTTGAAAATTTTGTATTTAACAATGTGTTGCGAGATTTTAAGGAGATAATTTATAAAAGGTGGGAATAATGTAATACCTCAAATTTTCAAAAATAATTATTCTGTGACTTAAACTCTTATTAATGAATATTTTAGTCACAAAAAGTAAAAAAATGCATTTATTTTTGTGGTTTTCAAAAGTTTTGGATTAATTTTGTGATTTTGAAAATAGAAGGGTTTTAAATAAATACGGGTTTTGTAATAAAAATGTTACTTTTAAATAAATAAAGGTTTTTATTTTTCAATTTTACATTAATAAATGAATATTTTTCCTACTAAAATTATAATTAGATACCATGTTATAAATTTTAAGATAGTGATGGTTACTCTGTAATTATGACAATTTGAGAGCATTTTCATATTTTTGCAAAATCCAATAATTATGGATTTAGTTATATATTATAACCCCAAAAAGTAATAATAATCTGACTAGGAAGTTGTCTTCTATTTTTATTAAAAACCTAATTGAGGAAAATATTTGAAATTAGAATATTGAATGAAATTAACTTAAAGAGTTTTTTTTTTTCCCTAGACAAAAGTGGATAGGTGAAGGGTTGAGTATTTGAATGGATTAAAGTGCCCTATTAACTCTTGGATTGAGAGGTTAAAATTTTATTATTTTATCTTAAAATATAATAAAAATTCTAACAGCAACAAGAGCACACCCACTAATTCTGGAAGTTCAAACCATTATATAAGAAGGAATTGGAATAAATAGAGGACAATATGGACATAAATAATAGTGACAGCAGAGAGAAATAAAAAAAAAGAGCAAAAAAAGAAGAATCATTAGCTTCTTTGTCAAGAAAAACACAAAGCTCAAATAAAATAAAATATGCAAATACATACAACTTTGTCCATTTACAATAGCTCAATGCAGCTTGGTGGTGTATAGTAATATGATCAGAAGAGAACATAAACAAATAACACATATACAATCCAAAACCACCATAACCAAACAAACACCCTACATAGGTACCACCTAGTTCTCATTACCTAGATCTTCCTATCCTCTGTATCAAAACTACTGGTTGTGCATACACGATGTGTGATATCAAATCTACAACCCGCAGCAGTTGAGAGATTTTTATGGGGGGCAAAAACTGAAGCAATTTTTATGGCATAACTGCTCCTGTGTGGAAGGCATTTTCAGAAATCAAAAAGAGCCTAACGAAGTTTCAGCAACTTAGCTGTAGACTATATTAGTATAAATTTGCATAACCTGCCTTGCATAGACACAATCATGCAAAAAAGTCTTACATTTTTGGCAACCAAGCATGCATAACGGAAGCATAGTCCACGCTTAAGAACTCTTTAAGGCAAACAGGAAAAACCACCAAGTCAGCTCTTGAACTTTGTAAACTACCTCTCTGTCTTCACAGTCCCGCTTTCAGAAACAGCCCCGGATACACTTTCCTGTCCAAGTTCATTATCAGGTTGATTCTGCAACAGAATGACAATAGACTTTAGTACAAATATGTGTAGTAGACTCTCGAACAAATTCAAATCAAGAAACACGTGCATAGAAATAAGAAACTGATCAAATAAATGAACATTAATTAATGGATAAATATTATAGGAGTCTCAACGTCTCAAGGAGATTGGACTGTTCCATTGTACAATCAAACATGCACCATATGCCAATACAGGACCTAAGAAGCATGGACATGGACTCCTAACATGACAAAAACACGACACATGGGAGACATGTGCAAAATATATAATTTTATATATTTATTAAATGTTATATATAAGGATAAAAAGTTATTATATATCTTTTTTATGAATATTTAAGTCAAAAATAATAATATTTAAAGTCTAAAGGAGGAGAATAAATATAAAATTACATTATTATTGTTTTATCATTAGATTCCAAGTTATTAAATTCAAACTTGCAATGTGTTTCATGTATGTCTAAATGTTGGGAAGTGTCCGATGAGTATCGTCTCGTGTTAGTGTCCGACACGACACATTACCTTCTTAGAAGTGCATGTACTTCTTAGTTCAAGACAATTCATCATCACAAATAGAGCCATTGTAGCAAAAGGCAACAGTCTAAAAAAAATATCAGGAAAATTTGAAACAACACATACATCAACAGCCAAAATAATGGCATCAATTTAATATATCCTATCTCAATACCTCACCCTATGCATATAGAAAAAAAATATGATGCTATATATACATAAAATCGTTGGGGACCAGGAATCAAAAGAAAGAATCATTGACTTCCATGGCACAATGCCGTGCAATGGATGCAGCAAAAAATAACTTGATACCACAGGACATTAGCATTGCACAAAAGGAAACAATATAACAATTAATTTAACCCCAAAAACTATACCCCCAAAACCTTAGAACTATTAGGTAACAACATACTCAACAAACACCAAATTGAAATCTCTTAGTCTCCATTTAGATCATAGGGTGAGAAAAGAAAAGGAAAGAAAAGATTCATCAGTTAAGAAAAGAGGGGTATAAAAAATTCCATTTCCTCACTATCATGTTTAAATGAGTAAAAAACCAAAATATGTGATATATGCATATGAGTGAGATTTCTTTTTATTTTCTCTGTATTTTAATGAGAATGGGCAATCTCATTATTATGAAAAGTGCACAGCCAGCCATTGGGAGCCTCTACATGCACCTTAATAAGTTTGTTGGGCACCCAAATCTCAAATTTCAATTTTACTCACCTCTTTTTTCAACACTCCATTTAATTGCAAGTTTACCCTACCAATCCCACCCAACAACATCCATCCCTGCTGGCCACTCCCCTTCCTTCACCCAACGCTGCAACTTGCCCACCACTCCACCTCTCTTTTCCCCGCTAACCGGCCCTGACCATCCACCATGAGTTTAAGGGGGGAGAGAGTGTTGCAAGGAGAGAGAGAGAGAGAGAGAGAGAGAGAGAGAGAGAGAGAGAGAGAGGTGGTGTCAGTAGTAGTAGTAGTAGTAGTAGTAGTAGTAGAAAAAGGAGGTGGGTGGCGATAGGGGGCGACAGGGAGAGGGGGCGGCGGCGATTGTAAGGGATGGCAGCTGGAGAGGATGGCGACCTTAGGTATAAAATGGTATTTAAAAATAAATAAATAAAACATATAGAACATTGTCCATTTTGAAAACTTGATATAGGGGCAAAATGGTTTTTTTTTTAATTTTAATTATGATAAGTGGGATGTCCAACAGTATTATTTAGAGATTCCCCCAATCAATTTGTCGGTGAGAAATGAAACCTATAAACTATCGCTATGTGTGTTTTATGAATTTGAGTAGAGATTTAGAAAGGAGAATGGAAAAGGAAGGTAAATTGTCCCTTTCTGTTCTAAATCCCTTCTCAAATTCATGATCCAAACCCAACCTAAGAGTTCTATTTCTTGGCAGTTATCACCATTTCCCACCAAACTTATTACCCAATCTTAACATGAAACCTAAAATTTTAGAAATTAAGAGTCCGATATCAACATCAAGGGGGCAATATTGAGTAACAAAATACTACCACTTACAACAACCCAAAAGGAATTCGAAAAAGCATTAAAATTCATCTTGTATATATACAGACTTACACACACACACACACACACACACACACACACACACATATCTACACACACCTATTAATAAATTAATCATGTATAAACATAAACCAAAATACATACATACATAAAATTTAAAAAGAAAAAAAAAAAGAAGAAGAAGCTAAATTCCTAAATCCAAAAATATAACAATTATACATGAATATAATAAGCACCTATCAATATATTTATGATGTAAATACATATACCTATCAACCCAAAAAAAAAAAAAAAAAAAAAAAAAAAGAAAAACGAAGAAGAAGAAGAAACAGTTGCAGTGAAAAAAAAAAAAGAAAGAAAGAAAGAAAGAAAAAGAAAAGGAGCTAAAATTAGATCATATTATTGACCTGAACAATTCGATTTCGAGCATCATCAGCGAAAAAGACAAAATCGAGATCAACCAAGGAAACAGGATGACCGGGAGTACAATCCCTGGGGGTTTCAAAGAAGGAGAGAGAGAATTGCTTGCGTAGAACACCAACGTCGAAGTAAATGAGTCCGGAGCTGGGGACATCGACTCGAACGCCCTTGACGGGGAACCAAAGGAAGAGGTCCTGGGCAGAGACACCGGAGAGTTGGCCGATCTCGCCATAGCAAAGAGTTCCAGAGACATTGAAGTCGTAGTGAAAGTCAGTTTCGTATTTAGCATTGCAGGCCTCGGGTAATCGGACCTCGAAGTGGCCTGTGGAGGGGTCGATGGTGAAATTGGTTATGCCCTTTGGGAGGAGACCCGTAGGGAGGCCATGTGACCCAAGAACTTCATAGATTGATGATGATGGTGATGATGAACAAGGGATTGGGTAATATGAGAAGGTGATAAAGGCAATGATTGTGATTGGAATAGCAAGATTTGAACCACCCATTTGATGGGTTAGGGTTAGGCTTAGGGTTAGGGTTTGGGGAGAAGGATGGGAAGGTAAAGGGGGAGTTTTGGAGTTGGGTTGTAGAACGAAGGCCACAAGGCCGTGTTTGAAACTCGCGGAAAGAAAAGGAATCAGGGGACGAGAAAGTGACACTATGTTTGGTAGCTGGGAAAGAAAAAAATTACTAATAATAAAATTTGTTTTTTCTGTCACTCTTGTTTGATAAACAAAAGAAATAAGGGAAGAAAAAATAAATAAATAAATAAATAAAAAGAATTACCTTTTGTTTGATTAAACTACTTTAATGAAAAAAAAAAAGAAAGAATAAATTACAAAATTTAAAAGGGTAAAGTGCAAAATAAGTCCTAGTTTAAAAAATATATTTTTTAATTTACCCTTATTTCTTTTATATCTAGAGTAGTTTTGGTATAATAAAAAAATAACAATTTATATGTCTTTACTTGCCCAAAGATTTAAAATAAAAATTATGAGAGTAATGAATTTATTTTCATATTCTCTCATTTCATTCCATATCTGTCATATTTATTCCCGTGAGAAATTTTCTGTCCTTTTTGAAATTCAAACAGAACGTGAAAGGGACACATTTCTTTCTTTTTTTCTTGAATCAACCAATTCGAATAGACCATGAAAGCACTTCTTTTCTTTTCTTCTTGAAATTCAAATGGACTATGAAAGGGACACAATTCTTTTCTAATCTTTTCTTTCCATGTTTGTGAAAAATGGGAAAGAATTTTACCAAATAGTGAGAATCTTCGTGGGTGTAAATTTTTAATGAGTTTTCAAACATGCTAAAACTTTACACCCCACCAATTTGTAAATATTTTTAATCTTCTATATTGAAATGCTAGTTTCCCAAATTTAAAAGGAATTGACAAGAACTACGCAAAGCTTATGTATTTTTTAGCTAAAATATTTTTAAAAATATAAATCATTTAAAAAAAAAAAAAAACACAAGACAATTTTAAAATTATTTGGCAAAATATCACTGTTTTTAAAAATGCTGTCAAAAGACCCATTTCACATGATGCCAATCTAAAACGAAAAAAAACCCATTTCTCATAAAATGCAATTATATATTAAGGCGGTACAAACTCATTCCCTTAAAAGCCACTAGTACATGATAGCTCAAACTCTGTTTTAGATTTTGGGGGAAAAAATTAATAATACTAATAAATAAATAAACCATTTTCCATAACCAGTCCCAAATCGAGAGAGACAGGTGTAGACTGTAAAACTAGCTTTAGGCAATACTCGGAACTAAGCAAGCTCTGTTCAAAATTGGTTCACATTTCTATCTGCTCAAGTTCGAGCCAGTCTAAGAAATTGGATTCTGTGATTTGTTCCCAAATCACGTACAATTCTACTGCAAGCGATGTGGATGTTCTTCCAATGACAACCATGCTTAAAGCCACTGATAAAGATGAACCAGCATAACGTGCAGATTAGCCGGCTAAGTACAAAGGAAAGGGTTACTAAGCCAATAATGGTATAATACAAAAGACAGCATAACAAAAATCTATAAAGATACAGTAGTCTTCTACTGATAACAAAAGACATATCAAATCCACGAAATCCACTAGGACGGAAAAAAGATAAATATATATTAACTCAATGCAAAGCAGACATCATTTCTCCCCATACAGAACTTCTATCCCTTTGACCGAGACAAGGACACCAATTTCCATATTCATCCGTTCAGCTGGACTCGTCAGCTAATACCGATCATAACGCCTGATGAAAAGATTGGGCAAATTATTACAGACAAATCAAAATTGGTACAGAAATACAAAACTACATTGCCATATATGCAGGCAAGGAGGCAGAACAATGAAAATAATAGAAACTGAAACGGTAGCAAAATACCCCATGGTATGTATGTTGGTTCTATTTTCTGAAAATGCAAAATGTTGTGATGTGTCTGGTGTTTTAAGGCAACATTGGCATAATGGTCAACTCAGAAACCCTTGGATACGTGAGAATACTGAGGTCTTCAATTACCAGAGTCTAAACATGACAGACAAATGTTCTAAATTTATGATAAGAACACTTATTTTAACAGATGTTAGTACTTACTACAGACTACTCAGGCTGAGTGTACTAAGAACACAACATGCATTAAAGCTAAAAAAACAAACTAGAAATGTTGCATACACGTGTACATATATACTAGAAGAGTACATCTACAGTTGTGTGCAATTAAAACTGTTATGGAGATCATGGGTGAAACCATGTGAGAGAGAGAGAGAGAGAGTGTGTGGAGGGCCGCAAATATATTTTGCACGTGTCTCCCATGTATTGTGCCCTATATATTTTCAAAATTTGAGTGTTGGCATGTCTATGTCATATGTCTGTTTCCCTGCTTCTTGTTTAAAACCAAATTCTTCGTAAAGTAATAAACCCTTGATAATGCCAGATAATTTTTATTTTTTTATTTTTGGTTTATTTATTACTGGCATTATTTATTTATTACTGGGAACAGCCATGAGCCATGAACCATGAGTGTCAAGTACCTGTGGCGATCATAATCCTTGGAGCGTTCCTTTGACCGTGACCGTGACCTCCTGCGACTCCTTGAATCATAGCTGCGAGACCGATCTCTCTCTCTGTCACGCTCTCGATCATGCCCACGATCACGATCACGATCACAATCACGATCATTATACCTATCATAATCTCTACTCCTATGATCATAATTCCTCCCCCGTTCACGGCTGTCTCCCAGATCCCGATCCCTGCTCACTCCCCTATCACGTTCCTGGCTTCGTTCTTTTGATCTGCAGAATAAAAATAACTGTTAAAAAGGGCTTGACCAAAGCCAATTTCTGATATTCAAGCAACCCAGGACCCCAACCCAGTGATGGTTAAAACCCTCTGGAAAAAAAGGAAAAGAAAATTAAGAAAATGAATCTAGAATACCTTCTCTCATCTTCTAAGGCCTTCCGTTTCTTGTTCCTCTCTTCCTGACAAATTAATCACGAAAGTACTTGAAACACCTCTTCGACAAAAATTTCACTTCAAGCTAGAGATATTAAACAGCAATTTACATGCTACAAAAGCTAGTATACTCACCCGTAAACCATATGAGCTTTGGTGTCTACAAGTATAGTTAACAAGAATATGTTCAACTCCCACCCAAGAACCACTTCAATGATGCAGAAAAGTAGAAACGCAAATGCAATGAAAAAACTCAAAAGTTAATGGTGTGTGTGTTTGGTTTGTGTTTTGAAATAAATTTTCAAAAAAAAAATTTGGGGAGAGAGTTTAGAAATTTTTTTTGTTTGTTTGATTGTATATTTTGAAAATAATTTTGGAGTTGGGAGTTTGGAATTATTTGATATTTTGTTGTAATTGAGTAGATGTGTGTGAGAAAAAAAGTGATTGAGAAGGAGAGAGGAGAGAGAAAAGTGATTGATTGATGTGTAGGAAAGAGGATTTTGGATTTTTGGAAACCAAACAAAATTTTGAAATTTCTTTTCAAGAATTGTATTTTGAGATACAAAACAAACAAGTTTTCTTTCTTTTCTTTCTTTTACAATTTCATAAAAAAATATAAAATACAAGATTTTCTAATGTTCAAAATTATATATATTATATACAAATCAAGATCATGAAGCTAATTGCCAAGACTAAATTAATTTTCAAGAGCAACAGAAATCTTCCCCATGTTAAATACCCACGGAGATTCTCAAGCAGATCATAATTACAGTCAAGTCACTACATCAACCTTTAACAACTCCAAGGCTTCAACAAGCAAGTCTTTGAATTTGGAGTTGAATGAACCAAGTCCAACACAAAAGTGAAACCCCACAAGCCCAATAAAAATTAACATTCCCACATTAGACAACACTTTTTGGGCTGGAACATCAAACTAAAAATCCCAAAATAAACTTTTATCTCTTTGTATCACTTCACTTAAATTGCATAACAAAGGTGAACGTGTGACATAAAATAGAAACTGAACAAGAACTTTCTTAGATATCAGAAGGCACAAAAAAATAAAGCAACAAAACTCCAGTGGAGATGGCACACGATCAGGTACGCCTTCAAGGTCAAAACAGAAAGCTAAAAGCTTTGAAACAAACACAAGTTTAAGCACCAGGTCAACAAGAAGCCTTTGAAAATTTTAAACATAAAAATGGAATTGGATGACTTAATTCTAAAAAAGATATAATGATGGATGGATGCATGACACATATAAATAACCATTGAAAATAACAATAAACTGAATGATGAAATATTATTTAAGAAATTTCTAAAGTTATATGCTCGGTACAAAGCTGTGATATACCCACACTCTGGAGTCGTCCAGCTAAGAGAGTCAAAATTCTCTCAAGTGACTGTGGGATACATATGGTTTTTTCCCTTTCATGGTAAATGAACAGCAGTATGCATACGCGTTTACAGAGACACACAAAAACCATAAATTAACAAGGTACGATACCAATATAAATCAACTAGCGATATTTGTATATAAAAAAATATATATTATGTTTTATTTTTCTAATTAGGTCAACAAGCACAAACAGGAACCAGGTAATTGACAATTAACATAGACAGAACTGACAATACCATTCTCAATTTAAAAAAGTTCACAAAACCTCCAATGCGAGTGCAAACAAGCCAAGCCATGTATATGGCCATTCAAGGTCACTTGCTAAAAGGAAGGTGATGCGTGAGCTTGGTTGCATGTTAAGCATCCTTGGAGCTCAGCTCCAATTTCAACTAAGCCAATTGGGCTTCGGCCAGCTCACCTCAGCTTGGCTTGACTAACAGAATCTGGAATGCTAACCTCGCTTCTTCAGGAACTGACAAAGGTAAAGAACAAAATTTTCACTTTGTCAAGTAAAAAAGGGGAGCTTCTATCTCCACACGTCATTTTTCCTCGATTCACCATTATGTTTAGTTTGGATATCAACTACCAAACAAAACTACATGTTCAGAAATCAACTTCTAAACAAAAATCTATGGTTTGGATATAAACTTCCGAACCAAAGGTACAGCCGAATCATGGGTTTTTGGTTGGAAGTTGTTTTCCGAACCATATAGTTTTGTTCAATAGTTAATATGCGAAACAAAATAATGTGTGAAATGAGAAAAGATTGTGTGGAAATAGAACCACCCCTAAAAAAGACAAGGAGCGTTCTTGTCGTAATTCAAGGTTGAAGAGGACCCTTGAGTAGGTCAAATCAGAAGACAAGCTACAGAATAACACAGCTGATGGAGTTCTAGAACACTTCAAAGAAAAAAGGTAGCAAACAGACAGGGATTACTATTTATATGATTTTACTCAGTTTCGTGTGAATTTAAGTAAAGCTGTGAGAAGTTGAGTCCAAACAAGCTTGCAGCAGATCACTTAAGCTCGGTATTGGTACCTTTGCTGGACAAACTACAAGATGCAAAAGAGATAAGCTCGAACAAATTTGAGCTACTCCACTTGTTTACAGCCTTACTCCAAATTAGATGTCAACTATCAAGCAACTGGCTGAAGTTTGACGACTTCTTCTTAGGCACAAGCATGCATTAAGCAGATTTTGTTTGTTCCTAGTGACTCCAATACTAAGTACTGGTTCTTTTTAACCATATTCCGTGATTGTCTGTGCTGTTGAAAGTCAATGAAGATACAAAAGCAACAGGACTTCAAATTTCTCTAATATGGGGAACCTCAATATAAATCCATATCCATATAAAGACAGTTGAAATATGGCAACACACTCTTCTCCAAGTTAAGAAAAACTCACAGAAGCATATTAACTGAGAATCGCTACAGAGAAACTGAAACATTTATACCAGCACCTGAATCAACATATTCAGAGTACCAACTTTGAGTATATACCAGATACACAAACGGTTAAACTAATGTAAACCCCACTTAGTACTACAGCATTGCTTTGAAAAACTGCTTTTGATGCCTATTTGCAAATGACAAGAACTATGCATTCAATGAAATAGATAAAAAAGCAAAAGCAAGGATCCCACATCAAAACAGAATTATGCAAGGTTCCAAACATCTTGTTTGCAATTCTGTCTTAAAAGGCCTCATAATAGGATGAAAAAGTCAATAGCCCCAAAAAAACAACCCAAAAAGGCATGGAAATAGATCATCTTACTTGAAGCTCAGCTAACTTCTCACGGATTTGCATATAGCCTAAGTGAAGCTTTCCTCCAAAATGATCTGCTAAACGGCGGTCACTGAAAACCACATAAAGCATCAAAATAGCACTACAAATATTCAAATCCCTAAAATGCTAACAAAAATGTAATACATCAACCCATAAGTTTCTAGCTAACAATAGCATGATCTACAAGCATAAAACAGTAAAAGACGCACATTCTGTAGCTGCAAAAGTTTATCCTCGAAAAACTGGGCCCAAAAGCCTGCTGGTGACAAGGAGGTATAATTGCCAGGTCAAAAGCTGAAGTACTTAAAACCCCAAATACTAGTTCTTGTTGTCCTTAAAAAGCTACAAATTGTATTTGCAATTCTTGAGAAATAGAAAGAAAATTTACCTGTCATAAACGCTCAAAAACGCTCCACAAATGTCACAGACACGTAGCTTCTGATCAGTCTATGAGAACATCAAAATTGTAAGATTAGAATACATGTGCATGTCATACATTGTCAAAGACTACAATTTTTTTTCAAACTCTAATCCCAAGTAGAAACCTTATATCTAACAACCAACTTAATGCATTTCCATAAAAATAAAAAAGATAATAACTCAGTTTTCAAGCCAGCAAATTTTCAAACTTTAATGACGCATTGTTCTAAATAGTAAGCTTTAAAATAACCAGTTCACAACATTTGTCAAATGGACTTATAAGTTAGCTCTTAACATTGTTATGAAGACTAGAATTGTGGCTAAAAGCAAATGAAAAACAATACTTAATATGGTAAAAATTGTTAGAAAAATATAAGACTCTTCCAACAATGACAAGAAGATTAGAAGAAGCACAGGGAAAAAAGGACTCACAATGCGAACATCGGCAGCAGTGTACTTGGAGGAATCCAAAACGGGTTCCTGTCTGGGAGCCAGCTGAAGACATCGTAGATATGTGAGCACAAATCGAGAGCAAAGTTCAAATCTCATTAACAAAAGGCAGAAAGGAAGGAAAATTAAAGCATAGGAACTTGTCCTGGACACTAGGATATTTTATTTTATTTTTTTAAAGAAACATAATCCTAAGGGAAAAATTACAGATAATGTGGATGGATATATTACATGCACTTAGTTTCCACTTTTTCCAAAAGACAAAGAGATTACTAATAAACAATGCAAATTTTGAATCAAAGTTTTTGAATAAAGTGTTTGGGCACTTCAATTTTCTCAAGTGGAACCACTTAGATTAGTTAGAATACCATTAATGAGTTGCTCAAACAGTCACAATGCTATACTCATATAAAACATTTTTGAAATCCCAAAAACTGCTAAAGTGCCAATCTGGTATTGCAGTAGCTTCTAATGAAGTATTTTTTAAGAACTGCTTCTGCAGAAGCTGCTTCATCAAGAAAAGTTTTGAGCCTTTTGTTTCTTTCATCATTTATTTTTATCTGAAACAGTTTTAGCATGAAAGCAAACACACAAAACCGCATTTTGTCTGCTAATAAGTGCTTCCAAGCCACCGCACTGCAGTCAACTGAGACCCAAGTGGTGGACACTGATGGAATCCAAACCTACCTATGTTAACATAGGGTAGCCATCTTGCCAAAAACTATATGATAGTGGATCCATATAGCTTGTAGAATGATCCATATGGCTCTTCAATTTAATAAGGATTTAGTTATTCAAATAAGTGCGATTTTTTATGAAACCTGTGATATATCATGCAATATATGCAATTTATACCAATGGTATGAGCTTTTCATTCGTAATTTAAGTCGTGCCTGTCAGTGAAAAGCAATATTTTCTGGTATATCAGCAATTAGTTGTAATTTTTAAAATCTTAAAATAAAACAGATAGATCGACATATTGCAATTTCACAGTCCAAGGCTAGGCAGTGTCAATAGAAACATGAAACTCAAATGTTTGATTATTAATATTAAGATATATTCTTAAGAGAAAATTTAAAACCTTCTTAAGTGCTTCAGCCTCTTCCAATGCTTTTTGTGCTTCATCAACCCTTCCTTGCTCACCTGAAAATGTAATAAACATATAGAAATATACAATAAGCCCATGACAAGGCAGTAAGGAAAGAAAAGGATGGTATAAAACTAAAACTATTATCCTTAAATTGTATGCATGAATTTAATATTGATTCCAGCAGGCCATTTATTTATAGGAACACTTAAGAAAGGACAAGGAGATCGAATAGAAAAAAGTGGAGGGACAAGGCTTAATTTGTTATTTTACAAAAGTAACCAAGAAATGCAACAGAACATATTGAACTTCTATAAAATTACTGATTCGCATACCAAGATCTTCTGCTCTCTTCAGCTTCTCATTTATCATTTCTTGTGTATGAGGATCAGGGACAACTACTTGCAAGGGGGCCAATGGTGGCGGGTTTGGAAGGGGCTGAGGTAAAGAAGCTCGATCTTTGTTGAACGCATCCAAAAGAAGAATTGACTGCCACAGGAAAATTATTATCATTTAACACATACACGTATAGCAAATTTTATTCTAGGTAGAAAAAAAAATGACGTGACAGCATTTCAACAATAATTCAATAGTGACAAGCTATATATGTCAAGAAGCTCACCTGTTTGTCAGCTCTTTTTGTTCTGAGTTCTTCCACTATTTCCAAAGCTCGAATTTTCATATCTGTCTTGCCTTCCAGATCTGCAAAAAAATATATATATATTTACAAGCCTCATTAGCAGTCCATATCAGCTAACTTTTCCACCCATTGTGAAGGATTTCAAGGGCCCTGCTGACTCCACAATAGTAGATAAATATTGTAAACAAAATACGAAACAATAAGCCAAAGCCATACCAGGAAAACCATACCTAGAGGAATCTAATATCAGTAGTTCGGTACAATTTTATGAAAGAAAAGAAGTATACGCTTAAATAGAAAAACCAATTCCAGTGACTTCTATAACCAACTGTCGTATCATCAACCACCACACTTCTGTCATCTTTTGTCACATATAAGATTACTATGGTCCTGTCCTCCTTTACAGAATTTACTTGTATCTTCTTCATTATCTCTTTCATCATGATTTTTTTTCCCAATGAGTACATGGTCACAACTTTTTCACACAACCTAAGATTCTCTGTTCAAGCAAATAGTTACAACCACAATACTTTTCCTCTTGGAAAGGGCATCACAATCAATTTGTAACCATCAGGGCAGTAGGTCAATAATTTTTTTTCCACCGCAATGACAGCCCATAATAACAGCCAAAATCCCAGTAATGAATAAAGCAATATTCAGTAATACCCTAATCTAAACTGCAAATAAAATTAAGAAATTTTTAAATATCACAAATGTCAAGCATGAATTACAGGAGAAACCCATCAAGCCCACATTTGGAAATAGATAAAGGAACTAACTGAATAATAAAATATACTCAAAGAGCACCTATGGCTAACAGGGAATTAATCTTCATGTTAGTCCCAAGGATTCATTATTTGATTTTGATGATAACAAAACATAGATGAAAATATTTGTTAAATATTTGAAGAAGTATGTCAATTACATGTTTTGAAAAGATTAGAACCTTCACATAATAAAATTGTATTTCGATTTTGCTCCTTCAAGTTTAAAATGGTGGAGACCTTTTCATAAGGTCCTTGTGCATGAAAGATTTAAATCTAGCTTGTAATGGAGCTACGTATGAGTTTCAGTTGGATTTGGAATAGTTTTGTTCCAGGCGAAGCCACAAAAGAACCCAACCCCTTACTGTTTAGAATTGGCCCCAAACTCCTGCAAGCATCCATTTTTAGACCTACGGAAAAGGATTGATCCGTGATTAAAAGGGGTGAATCCCCAAGAACAGAGGACCCCCAGATTTTCTGTCCTACAAAAAAGGATTAACCCCTTGATATAGAGTCGCTCCCAAATTGCCAAGAACAACCTTGCAGAAAAGGGTTGACCGCTTCGAAGATAGAGTCAACCACATGTGATGGTATTTCAAAAACAAGAAGGCATAGTTCAGAATCCCAACAGCTATAAGCACATTAAATGCTGATCAAATACAACCAATATTCAAAAACAAACGAGAGACTTAAAAAAAGAAGATCATTACTCACATTTGGACAAGAAATTGAAGATGAAAAAACCAAATCTTTAAGAGCATGAAGTTCTTATGCCCTAACTTCCAACATTCTCTCAAGTCTCAACAATTGAGCTTCATCATTTCTATAAACTCTTTGGAGCCTAGTGTACTAAATATTATATCGTATTTACTCCTTAAATCATTTGTAAACTACATTTACACAAACTCGGGTACAAATATCAGGTGTGAGTGCGTCCAAGTTCCAAATTTCCTAACCTTAACTATTTGGATAATGGGACATGTATCAAGAAGTTAGGTACAGGTACGCAAATGTGTCTAGAATATTTGCATATATTGCGTATATTTTGTATGATATTCAGACATAAGATGGTGTAAATTATTCAGAATATAATTGAAATTGGTTAGGATCTAAGAAGCACAGATATGGGCACGGACACAGGGCAGCAATTTTTAAAAAATTAGAATACGGACAAGGTGGGAATAAGACAAAAAAAAATATATTCTTTATATATCTTCATTTGCTTTGTATATGAATATAAATACGGAGCACATAGATATAATCATATAAGAAATATCAATGTTCATGTGGGTGTATTGTAATTTTTTCCCTCTTTGTTTCCATATTTTTAGTTTGATCCTAAATTAATTTTCTAAAATTATAAATTTAAAAAATAAAAAAAAAAACACACAAAAAAACACCCCACAAAGGTGTTCCAAGGCATGTCCAAACACAAGACAGGGTCTATAAAATGTTCCCAATGTATCCTGCAAAAAAAATAATAATAATAATTTTAAAAAAATTGACACGCTACGTGGTGTGTCCGACAAGTAGACACGTGTGTATGAGGTGTGTCAATGTCTGATACTTCTCAAACACAAACACTGCACCCATATCGAAGTCTATGGTTCCGAGGATGAGATTGATGAGAAAGGGAGGAATTTCTCTTTCATCCACGTCAAAGGCTAGAAAGTTTTTTTTACATCAAATGTGAGCCATTGTTTTCAAAGGTGAAGATGAGGCGCACACTGAGGCGAGGTGGGGCAATAACACCTCAAGGCATTCAATTTTATGCTTGATGCCATCTTGGTGTACATATCTTGGGTGTTCACCTTAGACATGCATTTTGCCCATTTTGCGCTTCAATGGCCTAGGCATAGGGAAAATGAGAGGTGTCTAAGAAATACGACATAGAAGTAAACCAAGGGTTTTGATTCAACAATTCATTGGCTTCCGATCTGTGAAGACATTGATTTCAAGCTTCAATTCTTCTTTTTCAGCTTCAATTAGTTACTTCTCGGGTCAGACTTGCAACAAGGTTCTCTCTCTCTCTCTCTCTCTCTCTCTCTCTCTCTCTCTCTCTCTCAATACCGTATTTTTTAATTTTAGATGGAACGTAATTATCATATTATAATACGTAATTTTGTCACTAGCCTCTTTTTCAAATACACACAAAATATCACTGCACACCAAGGAGAGTGTTAGATATCCTGATATACATTGTTGGGCCCATTTCCTAATAGCTTAGGCTTTAAGAAAAATTAGTGACTTGACATGGTATCAGAGCTCTGGTTGAGAGAGATCTTTAGTTCAGGTCCCTTCATAAGAATTTGGTATTATATCTCCGTTTGGTTTCTTCCTCTCTGCTTTGTTGTTTGGTTCTCATTCTGTTTGTCTCTCCACATGCAAGACGGGGTTGCACGTGAGGGATGGTGTCAGATAGCTTGATATACATTGTTGGGCCCATTTCCTAATAGCTTAGGCTCTTAGAAAAATTGGTGACTCAACAGACAGCCATGGAGAGTGAATAACAGCTTGCATTATGTTGAACTCCTATAAATCTCAGCATTCGACTTTCTCCTCTACTCTCTTTTCTTTGCAGTTAGTTATTGCATAACCATTCTATATCATCTAAGTATTCCTTATTTCCATTGCATGAATATTCTTGTACTTGTCATTGGGCCCAGGCTATTAGTTTTAGATATCTTGCATTTAAGTTCTGGATTTTTTGTCATTGTTTTATTTGTCGAGATTTATATGGAAACGCAATTCACCGCTACCCCACTCTCAAGATTCCTGCCCTGTAACATGTTAAAATGCCAAAAAAGAGCAAGCAATATAACTCCCCAGTCCCCACTCAAAATCAATAGAGTAATGCTACAATGACCATCTCCTTTTACCACATTACAAATGTGGCACATACACATTGGTTAAATATTAATAAGATTCATGTGAGGCTCATTATTGTCATTAATATCCAACCAATATATGTGTGTCACATCAAAGCGGTAAAAGGGGTTTTTTTTTCATTGATAAATAAAAAGTGATAAAAGGGGATGGTTATTGTAGCATTACCAAATAAATATATTCTTCCATCCACATTTCATAAATGAATAGAAACCATGTTCAAGTGCTCCAAATGCAAACAAAGATATTTCCACCAATACAACATGCAATATGATACAATAGATTAACCAGCACCCAAATAAACATCTTGCACATTTGAGTATGCAGCATTTACAAAGACTGCAATTGGAACCAAGACGCCGCAAACAACATAAGCATAGAAAACTAGAATAACAAGAAATACCCTACCTCTCAATCTCAAAAGATAAAGTAGAAAAAGTACATTGATCCAAAAGGAACTTACCATATTGATCAACTTCTTTCAACTTCTCCCTGATCTGTTTCGATAACTCAATAATCTCAGGTGTCTGCAATTCAAACAAATCAACAAACCATTACACACAAAACAAATAAATAACAAAAGGATAGGAGATGTAACTGCAATAAATGACAACTACTAGAACGTGCCCTCATCCTCAACCATCACCTGTGTAACCTCAGTCACGGAAATTGCAATAGCAGCTTTTGCATCCTCATCCTCAAGACGTTTGAGAGCTCTAGTAATTTTTCTATCACACTCAACAATAAGTCTATCGATAACATCCTCCAAGTCCCTATCATAGTTATCGAGACCTTTTGCTTTGGCTTCTTCATATCTGCAGAGAGTTAAAGTAACACATTCCAAATTTCTAAAAAATTTACATTCCAACGTATGACATCCTGTGGTACACACTCTTCAACTTCACCCAGTGCACCACCCAATTCAGACACTTAGATCCTCTAATTTTATAAAATGTTTGAAGAAGTCACATGAATGGGAGAGAATTTGGAAGGTAAATTTCTAAATAATTTACATCTATTCTAAAAAGACGTATATACAACATGTCATATACATAACCAGGAAAGAACTTATAGGCTTGGTTTCGGAACATCCTACGAAAGTCAAAAGGTCACTGAAAAGCTAAAAAGCCAAAGAACCATACAAAAAAATCAAAAATTCCCTTTTCTCTCTATTTTTTACACTTTTTTCATAAAAAACCAAAAAATTATCCCGAACATACTAATTTTTTTCACCTTCTATTTTAGCAGAAAAGTCAAAAAGTTACTAAAATAGCATATTCCCAAACCAACCTCTACAATATGTCATTCTAGTCACCAACCAAAATATATCCTTTATCATTCATAAGGGAAAGAACAAACATTGAACCAATTGGTGTTTCATGTGATAAAAAAGGATACTCTTTCCTTAGCTGCAATGAGTGCACCTTCGGACACGGACCCATATCCATTTTCTGGAGAGAAAAATAAGTACAAAAGAAAAATATTAAGATAGTGATATAGTGCGTACATAAAGGAGCACTAAAATATCACTAAAACTAATATGTGAAAGTAAAAGCAATAGTTTGTTGACATGCATGAGAATCCAAGTACATTAAACTCAAGAATTACTACAGCACATGTTAAATATAATTAGTGTCCTCAATACAAAGTTTTTCACTAAAACAGCAAATTTGGGCACTGTTTGGCACATTATCTTATTTGGGTCACAATCATCTCATTTGGATCACATCACCTCTTACTTCAACCCCAACCCATATTTCACGTTTTTTCGTAAAAAGTCAAAAAGTATACTAATTTAGCGCATGCCAAACACCCTCTTATTATTTCTCAAATGTCTCATCATAATGAAGACTTATCCAACAATGGGAACAAGTCCCCATCAATTTCCACTTAAAACTAGTTATATTTGTCAAGTTTTCCCAATAATTTTAATGTTGTCAGCCAGAGTCTTTTTTTTTTCAACAGTCAACACAGACCCAGTGGCTAATGGTTTAAACAGTTGAAGTCTCATTATGAAAATGATGGAAAACAACCCAAGCAAACAGTCGTACAATACATAATTGAATAACTTTTTTCATTAGTCTTTGGTCCCAAATCAACACAAAGTTCAAAGTTTCATATTTCCTCTTTTTTTAATAAGATTACTTTCCAACTAGGCCTCGTTTGAGAACAGACTTTTTAGTAACTTTTTGGCTAAAATATTATGTAAAAAAACTAGTATGTTTGGGATGAATTTTTGATTTTTTACAAAAAGATGTGCAAAAAGTAAAGAGAAAATGGAATATTTGACTTTTTGGTATAGGTTGTTGGCTTTTTTATTTTTTTAGTGACTTTTTGACTAAAAAAGTCACTTGCCAAACGAGACCTAAATAGCATTCTAGAGAAGCAAAAAAAAAAAAAAAAAAAAACAAAGAGAGAACTAGTTTATGAACTGTCTAGAAGCAAAGAAAATGAAAACAATTAAAAAAATAGTTGATCCTAATAACTCCAGATTGACATTGTTTCATGAAACCAAAATCTCGCAACATTTTTCTTTTCTTATTTTTAATGCGGTGGCACAGCGTTTGAATGCACTAGGCTCCGGTTGATCATGGAATTTGACAACTACTTATGGAAGCCAACTTTTTTAGATCAAATTCACTAAACATTTTCAGAAACTCATTGAAGCAACTGTATTCTACATGATTATTTGTTCTTATTATAGGGTAAATTATACTTTCACCCCTGAAGTATGGACATTTTCTCAATTTGGTCCTCAAAGAAAAGATTCTCCCACTTTGCCCCGTAAACTATTTGACTTTTACCGCTTCAATCCAATTACAACTGTCGTTGGGATTAAGAGTCAATTTTGGTATTTTTTGTAAAATGTCCCAACTTAGCCCAAACCCTTAATCCCAACACCCTCTTCCCCTCCCTCACCCATTCTCCCAACCTGCCACCACCCCACTACTTCCATCTCCCTCTACCTCCTCTCTCCGTATTGGGAAAGGGCAATAGTGAAGGTGGTGGCGGGTTGGGGCTATGGAGGTAGGGGATGATGGTGAACATAGCAATGATTGGGGATATGGAGGTGGGGATGGCATGGAGGGGACTGGGGAAGAATGGCGATGGTCGCTCTTTCTTTTTCTTTTTTGGCAAAGGTGCAGGGATGTGGCAGAACAAATGCGAATGGTTTTTTTAGGTTAATCAACTTTTTTTTCACATTTACATGAATTACCATCGGGATTGGGTTGAGTTTCGGACCGGTTCAGATTGCCTCAGCATTTTCCCTTCTCAACCACAACAACTACTGTCGAAAATTGTTGGAACCGACCAACAGCTTAGGGGACAAAGTGAGAGACACACAGTCCAAAGGTGAAAGTGCATATTACCCTTCCCTTTATTTTATTTTTTTTACTTCTTGAAACCTAATTCTATTCGAGTACAATTATTTTCCATTTCTTTTCCTAGCTCTCTCGCTTTTAGGGCTCAATCCACAACTTAATCTGCCCTGAAAGAAACCTTATAGCTCTATTAATAACCCAACCATTTCAAATCAAACAAAGCAAAACAAAACAAATAAAAAAAAATAGCTACAATAATAACTGATCATAAACACATATATATATGTAGAGATAGAGATATCAAATCAAATTATGGGACTTACAGTTAATTGGAAGAGTTCATGAGGACAGAGGCCGACCAAGAAGAGACGACAAACGTCACGATCGTAGTACTTGCGATTGACCTCCCTCACGTCGCCGTTCCGGTTCGCTCCCATCAGCACGTCGAGTTGCTTCCTTAGCGCATCCATCTCTTGCTCTCACTAAAGCAACACTTCTTCGCGCGCGCTCTCTCTCTCTCTCTCTCTCTCTAGGGTTTTTCTAAAGAGTGAACATTTGCTGTGAACAGAGAATTGGGGGAAAAGGGTTCGAGAGTTAATGCTATCGTGTTTTTTACTTCTTTTCTTTTCTTTTCGGCAGATTATAAGGGCTGTTTGGGAAGCGAGAGTTTAGCGGAATTAGGTTAAAATTCACAATAAAAATAAAAATAAAAATAAAATAGATTAAAATAATTAATAAAATAAAATATTACATTAAATTTGTAACTATTTTATTTTTTTCTCACTAATATTACATTTAATTATAAAAAAATTCAATCACTTTTTTAAATATAAAAATTTTATCTTACAAAAATAGTGATGGACTGAAATAATCTAGTAAGTTTCCAAACACTCGCAATATAATTTACGCAAAGTATAGATAAATGTTTGACTGGGTCTTTTTTTTCCAAACAAATTAGGGTTAGTTTGGTAGTGGATTTTTGTGATTTTTTTTTTTTTTTTTTGGTGTTAAAAATAGGCCAAAACATTTTAATGTTATCAGATTTTTTGATTTTTTGTGGAAAAAAATGCATGTAGAGAAAATGAGATTGAATTTTTTATTATTTTGTTTGATCTTCTTGTTTATTTATTTTTTTGACTTTTTAAATAATTTTTTTTTGCTATATTAGTCAATTACCAGACGCACTATTGTGATTCATTTGGGAAATGCTTTTTTTGAGTTGCTTCTGAACTTTTTTTTGTTAAAAAAAAAAAAAAACGTGCACACCATAAATAGACTATTGTAATATTTTGAAGTATCCTAACAAGCCCTTGTTTTCTAGACTCAAAAATTTTTCTTGACCCTTTGCAAATCCACCTTGAACAATCACTCCACAGGTCTATATCAATAATTGGTACTTCAGTGGAAGAAGACAAAATCCGTAGAAGATAAGGCCTCTCTTCAATTATCAGAGAAATGCACGCCAAGAAACAACAAAAGATGCTGATCAAAAAAAAAGAAACAACAAAAGATTTCGTAAATATTTGTGTCTGTAATTATTTGCGTCTGTCAGTGATAAGGCTTTTCCTTCACTCACCACTTTAATATAGCATATGACCCCCACACTGCTCCATTAAAGAAAAGTTATGAAAATCCTTACGCGTGTCTTGTAATAAATTATAGTGTTAAAATTTTATCAAAAAATGATGATCAAATGATATGCAATGGGGCCCAAAGCAGTACCCGATGTCATTATCGTAATCTTTTATTGATAAAATTCTATCCATATCTAGAATAGTAATTTGAGTCAAAATCTATGCATTTATGGCATAGAAAAATTTGTAACCTCTATGGCATATACTTAGGTAGTCTTTAAGACTTTTGAGTCCAAACTTTTGACGTATAGATTTTTTGGCTTGCATGTATCTATCAACCATGTGTATAAATTGGCATTCATGCCAACAAAAGAAGCATAATGAAAAATTCCCCTTCACTCTACTTTGTAAAAATCTCCAACCTCTCTCAAAAACCTCTAAGTGTACCAAGTCTTTCAGAATTTTAGAGTTTGTAATATAATCTTTGTAAGTATATTCCTTATTAATATAAAGTGTGAGTAGTCTCTCTTTTTCCTTAAATATTTCAAAATGGTAACTCTTCTATTCTAAAAATTTATTTTCTTTTTGGAAAAACTAAGTTTATGAAATGCTTGTTTGCTCATTAATATTACATGTTTTGCACCTTCGTAATATCTGTTGTTTTCTATTTCATTACTGAGTGACCTTAGCTGAAGAGTTTGTGTGAGTCGTGGTTAGGCATTTGTGTAGGCAAAAAGGGAAAAGTAAAAAACAGAAAAGAAAAATATACTATATTGAACGAAGCGTAGCTTCAAGGTGGGAGTACATGTAATGAAAACAAACATTGCCTAAAAATAGTTTTACCAAAGAAAAGAATTTTAGAATATAATATAAAGTGTGAGTAGTCTCTCTTTTTCCTTAAATATTTCAAAATGGTAACTCTTCTATTCTAAAAATTTATTTTCTTTTTGGAAAAACTAAGTTTATGAAATGCTTGTTTGCTCATTAATATTACATGTTTTGCACCTTCGTAATATCTGTTGTTTTCTATTTCATTACTGAGTGACCTTAGCTGAAGAGTTCGTGTGAGTCGTGGTTAGGCATTTGTGTAGGCAAAAAGGGAAAAGTAAAAAACAGAAAAGAAAAATATACTATATTGAACGAAGCTTAGCTTCAAGGTGGGAGTACATGTAATGAAAACAAACATTGCCTAAAAATAGTTTTACCAAAGAAAAGAATTTTAGAATATAAGGAAAACAACCCGAGTAGAAATATTAAGGAAATATTGTTCATAAAAGAATTTAAAAAATCAAAATTGTATGCCTTTAGAAGAAGAACTTAGGATTAAAATCAGAACCAGTACTGAGCTTATACAAGAATTAGAAGATCAAAATTTAAGGCATCAATTTCTATTATCATTAGCTTCTGGTAAATCTCTAGAAAATTATAGTTTGAAAATTTCTCAGATAAATAGAGAGATAATGGTAAAACAAGAAGCTTTGCAAGAAGCTATACAACAGCTTGAAGACTTATTAGCATAACTGTAGAATTAATTAGATAATTCTCAGCCCAATTTCAAAATAGTGGTAGACCACTAACTCATCACCACCCCCAAAAAATTGGTATTAGAGTAGTGTTCAATTTTAGGACAATTTAAGTTAGTTTATGCATTTTGCTCATGGAAATAGAGTAATTTTTATTTTTTGACAATTTAGTTATGAATTTCATATTATAGTAGCTTTTAATAATTTTAAAGTAGGTTTTAATTTTGTGTATGAGAATAGTAGAATATTTAGATTTAGAACTCAGCGATCACAACCATCGTCTTAACATAAACAAAAATAAATTTCGTTGTAATTTCGAAGATACTTTTACACATCAGCTCTATAGTGAACATAATTCTCAGTTAAATAGTATAATAGATTGTCAAATTAACTTTACAAAAAATATTAAAAATGATGTAGATAAAATTAGTAATCTCTTTACTTCATCTATAGACCATCTTCGTAACACTCGTAGTATAATTAAAGATCAAGATAAAAAATTAGATTATATTTAAGACCAGTGTAGTTCAATTTTACAGAAACGAACAGATTTAAATTTAGAAAAATTTCCCACTAAGCTAGAAATAGAAACTCTAATTTCAGCTATAAATACTAGCAGCTCAAAACAAATAGAGTTAGAATTTAAACAATTAATTGAAAAGTCCATAGCCAGATAAATCAAATAGCTAAACAAACAGAACAAATCAACCAAATTCAAGATAATTTAAAACAGAAATTAGAAATTTTAGAACAACTAATAAGATCTTAGTTTATGAGTAGCGATAAAAAAGCTAATAGAGATTACCAAACTATTTTAAAACAAGTAGAAGATTTTCATAATAACCCAGAAGGAATCAGTAGCTATCAAGGAATAAATTAGTCAGATAAAATATCAGTAAGACAAAATAATATAGAAATTTTATTTCTAATTAGATTGTGTGAAAAAAATGAAGAACTATCAGAACAACTACACAGCTTAGAAAATCGTTTAGCTTCTTTAGAAAAAATATTACTTCAAAAAGGAAAAGGAATAGAAGGACAAACAAACAAACCCCAATCTCAAGTAAACGAAGAAGATATAGCCAGATATTTCGAAAAGCTTAAATTACTAAAGAAATCTGTTTGTAGAACTCATAGAAAATAAAGATGTTTAAACGGCTAGTAAAAGGAAGTAGTAGCAAAAAGCGTAATGAAGATGAAGATATTAAAATGGAAGAATTTATAGATGTAGAACAACAAATAGAAAAATTTAAGAAAGAAAAACTAGAATTAACTCCAGCTAAATATGTATATAAGCTAGGTAAGGTTCATAAAAAACAATATCTATTTAAATACTACGGTGAACAAATGATCAGTGTAACCCATGAAGATGAAAAAGTAGAGCTAAATTTAATAGATAGGAAAAGCTATAATTACGCAGTAAAAGAACACCTCAAAATGGCTCACTTAGGATTAATTGTGGCAGGGGTTAAGGCTTTTACTAGAAAAAATTTAGGAACTAAAGTTTTTATATGTCTTTATGATGATAGGTTTAATAATGTAGGACAAAGTATTTTAGGCAGCTATGAATTAGACATGAATTCAAAAGGAGGAATAGTCTATTTTACACCAAATTTTCTATTACCAACCTCGACCTTTCATAAAAAGATAAAAGTAGGAATAAAGAGTAAATGATACAAAATGAAAAAAGGAGAAAAGAATTTATTAGTCTGCACAGGATGTTTAGGCTTAGCAGTCTCAGAAAGTAATACTCATTATAGCCTTACAAATGATCAGATAGTTAAGTTATTAGGCGCAAAAGGAATAATGGCACTACCAGCTAAAAAATTTAGTTATGAAGATAATGCAGCACTAGATTGGAACTTAAGAGATTTTCTAGGACAAAAAAGGTTGGCCCCTCAAGATAACTTATTATATAAAAAAGCAGATGGAAGCTATGCAATAAGATTTACTCAATATACGTATGTAGCACCAGAAAAATCAGAAGATGATGAATTTAGCAATATAGATAAGGAAGAAAATCAAGATAATCATAGTGACATAAATCAGCTTTATGTAATGACAGAGGAAAAAACAATATCACAAAATAAGATATATAATATTGATGAGATAGATTTAGAAAATTTCACCCTAGCCGATATGAACAAAATACTAGACACCAAATATTATGAATATTTAGCCAGAGGAGATACCCATGACGAAGCAGTGTCATTTTTAGATCAAGAATTTCATACAGAATACGTAGACGACATCATAGAAGATAAAATACATCCTAGCAAGATATTTAAGATACCAAAACAATCTAATTTAGAAAATACTTTTTATATGAACACAGAAAGCACAGGAACTAGTAACCCACAACCAACGGTAGAAGATCTCGTAGAACCAATGCATTATGCGGTAGGAGGAAGAAAACCATTAGCTAGTTCATGACGTAGTAAAGCAGACCCAAATAAAAGTTATAGGTTTCATGAAAAGCGTAGACAACCAGATACGAGTATACAATTACAGC